TTCTAGTATATATAAATGATCTCTCCTTTTATGCCAGTAGGTTGTGTGTTGTACTGTTTGCTGACGATACATTACTCATCTTTAAGGTTGACCGAAATTTATAAAATTATGACGACGTGAATGGTGCACTTTCGCATATCCTTCACTGGTTTAATTTACTGGTTTACTTCACTGGTTTAGTTTAATAATATGGTATTAAATACCAAAAAAAAACTAAATGTATTATTTTACTCTTCCTAGTGTAAGTAGGCAAAGTTTTAGTTTATTATTAAAATAACATATCTTGTTGAGTCCGCTGTTTTCTTGGGGATTTACAGTAGATTCAAAGCTCAAGAGGAGTCCCATCTCTTGCGACGAGGCTAAGCGCCGCTGTTTTTCGCGATTAGGAAGGTTAGGCAGCTAACAGACATCGGCACTGCCAGACTTGTTTACTTTAGTTATTTTCAAAGCATCTCATCGTACGGTTTTCTATTGTGGGGCAGTGCATCTGATATAAATTTGACGGCGGAAGAGCTGTCCGAGCAATCTATAACATCGGAGCCCGGAATACACTCAGAGACCTTTTTAAAGAGATTAATATACGTTCACTGTTGCGTTCTAATTTATTTATTGTAATATTTTGTATGTTAGACATAATGTTAATTGTTACCTATAGAATAGTGACACAAATTAAATGAATAGAAATAAGGACAAATTAACTACGCCATTGTCTCGTCTACAAAAAGTATACAGGTCGTTCATGGGGAAAAGTGTGTGTATGTATATTAAACTTTTATAGAAAATATTAAGTCTGCCACTTGATCAATATTAAACGCAAAATTAAAAGTGAACTTATATGGCTATGGCATATTATACCATTGCGGAATATCTTGACGACACCAATGCGTGGGGTTAACACTGTTGATACTCACGTAGGCGAAAATAAGACATAACTGTCCTATTATATTGTAAACTAATCGTTTTAAAAAAGAGCAACTGTTGAGTTTCTTACCGGTTTCCTCTCAACAGAAACAATATACATATTTTTGAGTATATGAATATCTATATTATTTTATGGTTATAATGTCATGTTTATCAGCGATGAAAACAGTGGTTCAAATTCAAATTCAAAATATCTTAATTCACATAGACGTTTGCGCGTTCTTATGTAACGTCAAAATTTTACATAAAAATAATACGTTCGTAAGTAAGTTACCACCATTCTCGAATGTATCAAAAGAACATGATGTCGATAGTAGAATAAAAAATGCTTTCAGCAACTTATGGTGAAGAAATCTAGCACGTCACTTAAAACAAACGAAAGTACTTTAAAAGCGAATAGTAGAGAATCTTATTCGTTCACCCCATACAATACAATAGGATAAAAAATCAATAAAAACGTCGCTTCTTTTTAATAACTACCATAATCTTCTCTTTCGATTTCTTTTATATTAGAATGATTTTTATTTAACTCCCTTGAAATTGTCTTTGACATCGTTATTATGATATTAAGACTAAGCACAAAAAATTTTCTCAAAAATCGTTAAGTTATGTACCTAATACAATAAATAAATTAAAATGCATGTATTAGGTATTTACCAAATGTTTTATAAGTTTTATGTGTAGTATATACAACGTGTCGTTACCATAGCGACAATAAATGAACACACGTCTAACGCTACTTGCCAATAATCATAAAAAAATATTAACGTTAAAAAATCCATAAATAAAAGAAAATATTTTTCAAACAAACTAATTAAGTAAAAAAGATACAAAATTTGTAACATCCTATACAACTACAACTGACTGATTCATACATCCAGAGACTTTTTCATTCGTTGCCACGGCGTCGCATTACAGGGCTCTCCTTCTAACAGTATTGTCTCTTTTAAATTCATTCAACCCATTCATATGCTGTGTGACCTTTACAAATGAACTTTACGTTACAGTTTTATACGTAAGGGTGTTCTAAAATTCTTTGTTTTGGAAAATTTAATAACTCTGTAAATATTGATGTTTAAAGAATGTAAATTTTTGATACAATTTTAAAAAAGTTATCCTCTATATGTGTGTTAATTTATTGTCGCGTTGGTAAGACACGCTGTATAGGAAATATGAAATAATATAGGAAAATACACATTTTTAATGTAAAATGGTGGCCTGGCAAGCAAGCTCATGCTCAATGTTACCAACTGTCGAAAATGTTTGCCCCAAATTTTATGCCAAAGCCCCTAATAAAAAATATTATTACAAAAATTATATTATTGCCTAATTTTCATATGAATAGAATAATAAACAGTGAATTTTATTGCTGCGAAGCAGTAAACGTTTTCTAAAGAGTGTTTAAACAAAAATTGTAGGGCATTTCATTTTATAAAAAATTGTCCTTTATTATTTCTTAACTCGACTCATAATGAATGATAAAATATTTTATTACTTTTGGCTCTTTCTTTAAATCCAATTACATTGATCAAGGAAAGTGGCGAGTAGCGAGTACAAGCACAGTAATCAGTGGCAGGCACTGGACAGTGGCTGTTTATACTATAGCAAGTATAATGGCATTTCACTGTTAAAATTAAAGAGTAATACGTGCAATTTTGTTGCCTAGTAAAAATCGGGCTCAAAATTTATCCGTGTAAAATTTTAAGTGCATTTTAACGGACACTTTTATCTCTACTCCCCACAGTTCAACTCCGCATTCTTAGTAACGAAAAATTGTTCTAGATTTTGGTAGATCAATAAATAAATATGAGTGGGTAGTTTGCGTTACATCAGGCCCTTTATTTTTTATACCGTTATTTTCTTAATCAAAGAAAATAACTAGTAGGAAAAATATAAGAAGTCAAAATATCCTTAAAAATAACCTTAAACGTATATGGCCCCTAAAAAAAATGTCAACGCGTTTGTTTACCCTCCAAATTTGGGGCAAAAACCCCTAAGTTGCCAACCCTGCTGGTAGTGAAGTGATATCCATAGACAAAAAATGTATTTAAGTGAGCCCCATCCCCCGGTTAGGTTAGGTTAGGTTAACCCCTAACTGCTGCCCCGTGGAAGGCTTGAGAGGGGTGCCGTGCTCATTGCACCGACACGGCACCATTTGACTGGATCGGGTGTCTAAGCACCCGGGGACAGGAGGCCTGAGAAGGCCAAAGTCGCGCCGGAGTTCGCGGAAGATTGCGTTTTCGTGTTCCCGTGTCCCCGGCAAAGCGACAGCGCAGGTGCAACGTGGGTTTTTTAGTGGTTACCCCGTAACTCCCACAAACCCCTGATGCCTACCCACAAGGCGGCGGGGGATCCATAAAGGATTTTTCCCACGTAAAAAAAAAAGTTAGGTTAACCCAACTCACCAAACGAAACGCAATAATAGTACAAAATATCCACTTCATTCACCATAAATGATACGTATAATTACAACTCATTAATTCACGCTGGTTTTTTGTGAGGCTGCGAATTTTAATTTTTTTGTTGTTATATGCATATATAATCGAATATTATATTAAATAAAAATTTTAAACTTGGATCATTGCGGAGTTTTAAAAAATAATCACCCTAAACAGATACTTACTATACTTATAAAATATCATTGCATAAAAATATTAGGGTACGCACAGAAATGCTTAGATGATTACATATGAAAAATAATCAATTAAAATACTTAACATTAAAATGTTTGCCCAGTCACAAACGTTACATTTTATTTACAGTACATACTTCTAGGTCGTAGGCGACGCTCCTTAGGCAATGCACGCATGAGCACATGCGTCGCCCTACCAACTATGGAGTGGAAGGCCTCTAACCCGTGGGACCCACGGCGTGGATTCTGGCTAGCCTACCGCTTCTGCATCCGATGAAGCTTTAATAGTCTCGGGACTGTAAGTATTTTTCAGATATATAAAAGTTTCAGTCAGTTTCAGCAAAGAGGCTGAAAGCGTCAACATCATTTAAAAAAAAACTTTAAGGTTTTGAATTTGATTATTTCAAAAAATTATTAATAGATGGCGCAATAGCAGTACTGTTTTATCGACTATAGCTCACCAATCAAATCGTGAAGAGTGTACTACTTTCATGACGTCACTATTTCCACGTTGGAAGTTGTAAAGAAATGTCATGTTGTTATTTTGTTGTATGTAATTTTTTTAACAAAATGTTTTCATATTAAAATGTTATTATACAATCCAAAGTATATTTTTATGTCTTAGTGTAATCATGAAAGTAAGCAAAGTGAATAAACAAATATGGTCAACTTAGTACAAACTTGTGGTTCAAAATGACTCGTTAATGACGATATGAGTAATATCTTGGAATATATTTCAAGAAGTGAACTAGACCACGACGCCTTTCATACAAAAAGTAACAAGATGGACATTTATCAGCAGGACGGATTAATGGTTCGTATCTCAGCATTTACAAGGACACGACAATCGCGAAATGATAACGTAACAAAATCTTGTTAGCAGAACGTCATCGAAGAAATGACTGAATTAGTAAGTAAGCGAGCGATATAATAGACGTACCGGGTAGCAATGAACGTTCTACGTGACGAACAGACCTCGTTGGACAGCTTTCGTGGGCTCGTGTTCCTACTTTTACCGTTATACGTTCATTTCATTTTCGGAACGGACGTGGCCAGTTCGCCGGTGTTTATACGCGCGCACCCGGCAGTACCTTATCTAATTAGAAGATTACGCATTAGGGAACAAGGTTGCTCCAATTAACTCCAGAACTTGTCTAAGTCTGTCAGTGTACAAATTCAGCGGTCATACAAAGTGCGGCGCGACGTAAACAACTTCGATTAAGTGCCAGCTAGGCACCATGCGGTCGGCTTTATTTCCATATGCTTGTTAAATTAATTTCGCAACGTAATATATAGCGTAACAGGACTGCTTGTTTATATGTGATCCAAGTGGAGTGTGTCATCACTTTCTTTCCATTCATTTTGATTTTTATAATTTACATATTGGAAGTGAATCATTTGTGTTGTTGAAATATTAGGGAAACATCAATGTCAATAAAAGTTCAAAATGGATAAAAAATTAGACTTATTGTCCTTGCTCGAGGTAAATATTTTTGTTGTTATTAATATATATGTAGCTTAAAAAGGTTTTATTTATGAAAGTGTTTTTTACTACAATTAATCATTGTTAATTGTAAACTGTAAAATTTGTTAAGAATAAACAATTACATTAAACATAACTGTTATAACTTACAGTGAGTGCAATAATGCTGAAACATTCACTTATGGTGCCTTTCTCTTTATATCAAGTGAGAGTACATGAAAGTTACTTTTAATTGACATTTAAACTTTTCATTATTGTTATAATAATATGTGCAATTAAGTAGTAATTTAATTCTTTTCAATGATTTAAACATACAAGATTGTACACTTTTTGTTTTTCATGTTAGGTGTTAAGTAATCTTTTCATTTTAATTATATTCATTGTTATTATGATTATAAGTTAATTAACAATTGTGCTATTAATTATCATTCTATAATAAGAGATCTATTCTAGAAATAAATTATTTAATGAATGTGTTAATGTTATTATTTGAGATAGTTAAAATTCTTTTTGCAAATGGAACCATATTTGTGCTTAGTTATGGTTTCATACATGGTCATATTAAAGCTTTTAAAAGCAATGTTTGCTTATTGCATAAATTTGAAATTTATCAATAGAATTCAAGTGGGGAACTAAAAAGTCACAGGACCCAAGAGTCGGCAAACAATTTAAAAAGTTTTACATTAATGTATAAGTTAAGAAGTAAGGTTACAGCCTCTATACATATCACTGCTAGGCAAAGGCCTCCTCTGTACAGAGGGTATTAGCACATAGTCCACCATGCGACCCCATCGCTTGTTGGGAAACTTCTCTTTTTTTTTTCAAATTCACCTGATGGTAAATTAATACTACCCCATTGGACATCTACACGCCTGAGGGGTTGCAGATGTGTTCACAACCTTTAAAAAATTGCACCCCAGTCACTCACCAGACGAAACGCAAAACTTTAATATTTTCACTTCTGTAGTACTTCCCTGGACTATTGAAGATTTTTTGTTTTTGGTATATGAAAAATTTTTTTGTCATTATTTCAAAAGTATGCAATTTTCCTCAATATGTTTTCCTTCTCCGCCTTAGCTTGTGTTAAATCAGCACAATTTGCAATTAACAATTTCACTGGTGTAGGATTGCTGAAGTCATTTTTCTGGAGTATTTTGATTTAAAAGCGCCAAAATCTCACAGAGCTGACATGGCTCTATTGTAAAGGTAGGTTTTTTAATATATTTCCCTTTTACAGTCTGACCCCTGGCAGGCTTCAGATGACCTGCTGGAGAATATTTTCTCCTTGGAACAAGGCTCATTCAACTTTTTGGAGGATGCACTGCCGGATTTTAGTTTGGAACCGGACAATCTGTCACAGCCTGAGGGGCTAAGTAGCTCATGTTCAGACAGTGGTTTATCAAGTGACCAAGCTGAGTGGTGAGTTTTTATCAATTACAAAAATTATATTAATTAAAAGGCAAATAATCATTAAATACGGTACTCATTGTTATTTGTTATGGTGAAATATTGTTAAAATGTATTTTATATTGAGATTGTATTCTCCATTCTTCCTCACATTTATTTGAGAAGCACTCATTTTATAATTTCGAGATCCAAAAATGATTTTGGATGACAAATATCATAAACTGCTAGCCAAAGGCCTCCACTATTCATGGGTATTAGGTTATAGTCCACCACACACCCCACTGCGGGAGACTTCCTAAGGTTCGAAGTCACTTCTATGGATGTTTCCTCACAATGTTTTCCTTCAACGCTGAGCATGTGAAAAGTCAGCACTTAAAATTAATCACCAAGATTTGACCCGGGTTGGTCTGAGCTATCATGATATAGATGTTCTCAATAGCTGTTTCTAAAAATGTTTGAGTGTATCAATAGGTATAATATGTTTTTCATTACATATCTAGTAAATTGCAGGATCTAACATATAAAATAATTGAATAATTCAAGTGTGACACAACTTGGGGTCAATGGAATGGTATTTGTGACTTATTAAGTATTCAACTCATATTACTGTACTGTGTGTCTGACTGGAATATTCAATCTAAGCTTGTATGACTTATTAGTCAAAAGCATTAATGAAATGCTTTACAATAACAGTTCTTTACAGTGACACATAAGACCTTAACACTGTTTGCGCGATTGAGGATATTTTCAAGAACTGCTTACTTCTAAGTTGTTAAGTACAGTAATGAACGGAATTCAATTTTTAAGGGATCAAGTTTTTATAAATAAAATACAGTGATATTAAATTAATTTTGAAATAATTTTAGTGTCAATTATGACAAATGTTATTTATTTTACATTTGTTGAAAATGTAATTTAAACAAAAGTATTATAAATGACAACCGGCCAAGTGCGAGTCACATTCGTACACGAAGGGTTCCCTACTACTAGCTAAAGTGGCAAAAGAATTATGTCTGTAGTATGGGAGGCCCACTTAAATATTGTTTATTCTATTTTTTAGTAGGTTATGGTAGTTTTTGTTAAAGTGGAATCAGAAATACATCATCTATGAAACTTTTTTTTAAATTGGTGGATTTGTTGCTTGAAGCCAGACAGATAGAGAGCAGAGTCTTAGTAATAGGGTCCCGTTTTACCCTTTGGGTACAGAACCCTAAAACGAACCTCTAACATTATTATACAGGCTCAGCATCCATTTTTGCTGGCAATTATAAGTTGGAATGTGCAAACAGCATAGGATTAATTTTCTCTGAATATAGTTATTGCAAATTTTTGCACATATGACATAAATCGCAAATTTATGATGATTTTTTAAAATTGTGTTACTCGTATTGTACCGCTTGATTTTAAATAACTGCCTACATCACTACTTTGTAGTATTGAGGACGAGCTCCATCGTTGGTACAGAGTTAAGATATTTGCGTAATATAATTAAATAACATCTCGTTAAAATTATTCTCTTCTCGTTAAAATTATTATGCAGGTATAACTCCAATGTTTACTCCTGAATTAAGTAAAATAAAATAACTTATAGTATGGGTTCGCTGGGCAAAGGCCTTCTCTGTATCAGTCCAAATAATACAAGTGTAATAAAAATTACGTAAACTATATCTTAAGCTTCATTACTAATACAGTGTTATCGTAGAGACGAACTTAAATATGACTTGTCACTTGAGTGTTACATCATATTGACACGGAGATAACTGTACTGGTTATATTTAAAGCGGATATATGTTTACTTTTTGAAAGTAATTCGTGAAGCTATATTACATTAATATTACATAAATTTGTTAATAAAGCTATTCAATATAAGGTCACATCGATTCAATTATGCTTGCAATTGCATCACTGGACATAAATGGATGGAAGTAAGGGAATAAAAAATACCACTATCTTTGGATCAAGCGAATTTTTGTTCTACACGGAGTTGAACTAGCGGCACGACAGTTAGCAAGGTGCCTGTTTGACAAACTATTACGTCATCCGTACACCCAATCATGACGGATATTACAAGTACAGGACTGTAAAGTAGGAACTCTATGATCTATTACATTATTCTATTACTCTATGATCTACTATATATATTATAAAGACCTTTGGATGTCGATCGTTACCAAACTTCACAGAATCACCCGCTGTGTTAATCTGAAGATTGCCTGAAAATTTCATAAAAATCTGTCCAGCCGATTCGGAGTCCATAGGCAACATATTTATATACATATAATTTTATTTGTTATATACATAGATAATCGCAATGTTAATGTCATACAGAATCTGCCGTAAAGAGCAGTTTTGACGTGTTCTCGAGAAAATATCGACAACTTTGTAACTAGTTCCGAAGTTGTACTAATAATTCAAAGCGCTAGGTTAAATAATGCCACCGACTTTTGCATAACACTATGAAACCGGATTTGAGGTGCGAAATCCATTTGGTTTTTCGTGTTAGTCCTACACGAGTTTAAGTTCTAATATCTTGTGCGTTAATATGGATCTGCCCATTTTACTAGGACACTGGAAGATGTTACTTATTTACTGTTTAAGTTGTAAAAACAATCAATATTTTTTAAGGACAGTAGTTCAGTATTGTGGGCCGAGCCGTGATAGGTCAGTGTCTGGGCGCTCGCCTTTAATTCAGCCTCTGTACAGAGGAGGCCTTTGCCCAGCAGTGGAACATGTATAGGCTGATACTTTAGTATTGTGAGTAAATTTTTTTTAATGTACGGACTTGCCCATTCGTGCAATAGACTGTTGCGTAGAATTACCACAGCTAAACACATAATTATTGAAACAAAAGAATTTAAAATTGACAAAAGAAACAAAACCAATTAAATATTTCCATCGAAGAATAAGAATTATTGCTTAACTTTATTAATAATTCAAAATTTTTATAGTTCTTCGCTTGTTTTTACTAGGCGACTTTGATCTACTGTGAAAAGTGATGCAATAAATAGTTCTTTATAGTAATTGAATTTAATTCGTTGTATAGATATAGTGTTTAGAATTTGCTGTAATTAATTATTATTTTGTTAAAACCACACAATGGTGTCAAACATCAACAACTTGACATTGAAATATTTCATATTGAAAGTATCTGATTTTATTTTTACCTAACTGCGCGATGTAAAGGAGAATAATGTGTTTATCGGCCTACGCAAATTTGTTCCTTGAATTTTAATTCTACGTATTGTTTTTTTTAAAATGAACCGTGTAATATTAGTGATTATTTAAATGATAACTGGAAATGAATTGATCGCTCCAGGCTCTTTCAAGTGGACATTTACAACACCTGACGGGCTGCCAATATTATAAAAGTGAACCTCGGTTACATCAGCAAACAAAACGCGAAAGAATAATACTTCCGACTCACATTGGTCTGTAAAAAAAAAAAAAAAAAAAATAAGTTTACTTTAGTAGCGACTTGTCTAACCACTAATAATTTATATTCACTGGGGTCCAATCTCGCGTCAGCTCCTACCAATCCTCCAAATATTCGGGAAGCAACCTGTGCGCAGGATGCCGTTAAACAAACGCGCGATCGCGACAACACTGCGCTTGGGACTTTTTCACAGTAGACTTTCGTCTGGTGTGTTGGATAACCAAAGTTCATATAATTAAACGTGAATTGCCTACTAGCCTGCTTAAAATAATGTTGTATAAATATTAAAAAAGATGGATTTAGTCTTTTCACGTTGGATACTGTACTATTCCTAACATGAAGGTGATTAATGAAAAGGTCATCACGGGCTATCAATGTTGCTACTCTGCTATCTTGAGAACTGTAGTTCATTTTATCTGGGGAAAATATTATTTAATTTATGTATATGCGCGAACAATCGCACAAGAAAAAGAAACAACAGTCCGCTCAATTTGATAACTATCTTTAAAACAATAGTGATAATTAAAAAAGAAACGCTTGTACATATATACATTATTATTTTTTAAATTCTATTAGTGTCAATAATTAGTCTTATTTAATTTAAAACACGATATAGGGTCGTGTGCTTCTCATAACGTTATTGTCATCGGTTCTTAATATGTGATAATTAAAAAAAAAGACTAAAGTCGTCAATCACACAACCAATATTAAAGTCGCTCTATTTGATTATTTGATATTATATTATATTATATTTGATTTTGATTTTGAATTATGTACCCCCCACCAAATATCCCTACCAGAGTCTTATCAGTCTTATAACTATTTAAGCCCTTACATAAATCAAAAGTGAAGACATCATTCTCTTTTTGTATTAGCCGAAAATAAAATTAATAAATAAATACTAGATACGTAATACTAAATGTACATAAATATCATTTTCCTGTTTAAAACATTATATGAACAACCAGACAACGTAAAAGCAACGTGTTCGTTCACGCGACAATTTTCAAGTAGTCAGGATCCAACGCCACGCTAACGTAATAGGTTCCACTATCCACTACGACAATGTAGACTATCTTGTATATGTGTTACGTAAGAACATCAAACGTGCTATTGACACGTTCGAATTACAGTTAATTTCATCCAACAAGATTTTTCTTTATTAACCACGCAACTTCTCTTATCTCGTTATCCGATGTCAAGATTTCTCAGTGTTCTTTGAGGTATTGATATTGCTCACAATTTCTTCCCTCGAGCTACTTTGCAAGCGTCATTAATTGTACGCGTCGGGGACAATTACGAGAGCTTCCATTGTGTCCCCCTTAAATTGAAGAATACTGTATTCTTGAGCCAAAAGATGCTTCCCAAAGAGACATACTTACAGAAGTAATTTATTGCTTCGACGTTGTAATAGAATGCCTTCTCAGCGTCTTATTGTAACCGTAATATCTTTCCTATACCTCGTTATATAAACAAGTAACGAAGTTCGAACTTTTATTTTTTATTTTTCGTTATCGTTATTAACATACCGCAATTTAATTCCGATTTAATTGTTTTCAATTTTCTAATTTCTCTTGTGACGGCGTTCGTTTTGCTTTCGTCAGATTATGTTAAATTTTCTCTTATCTCACGTGGAAGCCGTTAGTGAATCCATAACCTCATTTCCTCTTAACGTAAGAAAAATAAACAACGTCTTCGTCGGCGTAATCTCGAAGTTTAAGCACCTTAAAGCTGGCTCTTTTGGATATAAGAGGATTATAACTTTCAACTTGAGTGATTTATTTTACATCATTTCGTTCTCTTTTAAATCATGATGGATTGTTCAGTATTAGTGTAGCTATTTCATATACCTACGCAAATTTAAACTTATTTTAATGCAAAACTTCATTCATTCGATTATTATTTAATAGCAATTTGTGTTATTTAAACGCATGTGAAGGATTGTAATTGAAGAAACATCAAAATTTTCATCTCTGACTGCAGTACGGACTGTGGTTAATCTGAAAGTTGAATTTTAAATTGAATCGGCAACTTTCACGCGTTGCTTTGGCGAGAAATTTACAAAACATTAAACGAAAATAATGCAATCTGCCGCCTGTCGTGCAACTATTACGTCGAATTAAAATTTTCGATGCAGAGAATTTAAATTTTGTTTATCGCACGCTTCCCTTTTGCCAACAGTCACTCCGTGAATGAAGTTTACATTTTGTTTCGATCGATCGATTTGTTGGTTATTTAGACGCTAATTTCAATAAACTACTTACGTTTTACGTTTACTATAGGAATCGCTTACGTTACCATGGTTCGGATGCAACTTCAACCTTAAGGGTGCTATGGAAGACTGACGCCCGGTTTCTGAAAGACGGTGTCTGATCGTCGAAGTTAGCTTGATCGGAATGATCAATTTAAAGAGTTTAACTCCGCTTTTGGTAACTCAAATGACATTTGAAAAGCCACTTGACAGCTAATTACTTGACTTGATGATCAGTGTTTCAAAAACAGTGCGTAAGGGCGACCTAATACTTTTATATATACCTAATACGACCTAATACTACAATTTACCATCAGCATGTAGCGCAACCGTGATAGCTCAGTGTCCGGGCGCTCGCCTTTAATTCAATATACTCGAGCAACCTGCGTTCGATCCCCGGTGCCGACACCAATGAAGTTTTTAACTTAAGTGCTGACTTATCACGTCACGTGCTCCGCGGTGAAGGAAAACATCATGAGGAAACCTGCATATTTTCGAAATAATAACAAAAAAAATATATTTCGAAGATATGTGAAGTCCGCCAATCCGCAGTGGGGCCGCGTGGAGGACTATGCCCGGATACCCTCTGTATAGAGGAGGCCTTTGCCCAGTAGTGGGACATGTATAGGCTATTACTTTTATGTAGCGCAACATGATCGTTTGCTCATTCAGTTTGAATTTCAAACATTTTCATGACTTGCGAGTCTCAATAGTCTGGTATAGTGCTAGAAGCTGCAACTATAGAGCCGTCGATTTACTTCGAATCAGAGAAATGGAAAGAAAAGCGGTAGAAAAGCTTTCAACCGACATCAAAAAAGTATGAGTTTCTTAGTTCGGCTGTAAATTTTTATATGTTTGTTACCTGAGAATTCCGTCATTTTTTAAATATCGGATTTTAAGTTCCCTTTACATTGGGTTCGGTTTAGCACGCGGACCTTTAACACCAGGGATACGCCTGGCAACTCTTCAAAAATCAAATAGGAAATGTACTTTTTTACATGTTTGAAGTCGGTTGCTTTTTTTTTTTTCTTTCAAAAATATGTTATTTTATCTGAAAGGTTTGATTTGATGTTCGGTAGTTTTTATCGATTTTAATTGATTACCGCCGACCAGGAACAGCTGCAATGCCTAAGATTACAATACTCATCAGACGAAACGCGAAAGTATAATACCTAGTGCAAACGCTTCTGCAACCCTACCGTTGTTGCAAATACCAACGGGCCGCGGTTATAACTCAACATCAGGTTAGTCGCTGGAGCGCTTGCCACCACCTTCTCACATAAAAAATGCATCTTCTATCCGGTTAATTTACTAACCCGTGCCATTCTGGACATATTCCTTGGTTCTTTTATTTCACTGTTTTCTGAAAACTGATAGCTAGCTCAATTACCCTTCGCCCCTTCCAAATTTTTCAAATTCAAATATCTTTACTCAACATCACTTATTGATAGTCAAAATACCACCACCGGTTCGGAATGGACGAAACCACTACACGAGAAGAAACGGCGAAAGAAACTCAGCGGGCTATTTTTTTTAATTTTTTGACATACACGGTGTGACATGAATATATTAAGTGCAACATAAATTAAACAAACATTGAAAGAGCCTGCAGCGACCAATTCATTACCAGTGTGTTATCGTTTAAAATTGATCGGAGAGCCCTAGGTTTAGGCATCGGCATTAGGACAATGGCAAAGTTGCAATGTTCCCGTCCGTTGCAGCGACTTCGAGCAGCAGCTATCGCCGTACCTCATCCAGAACTCCTGCGACGAGGTGCAGCCCGTACTGGAGCCTATGAGCCCGGGGGACAGTCAGGATGTCATCATACAGGACAACGACGCGTCGATGAGCTCTATCGACTCGCAAGGGAGTGCAATCGACAAGCTGGATTTCGAGCGTGACGTAGTGCCCAGCTTCCTGAACAAGACTACATTCCAGAGCACCGGTGAGTCGATGCTCCTTTCTTTTACGTGAGAAGATGGCAAGCGAGCTGTTGAGCCACAACCGCCGCCCGTGGATTTTTGCAACACCCGTGGCGTTGCAGATGCGTTGCCACCTTTTAATGAAGTGGGCCAGGCTACTCTCCAGACGAAACATAGCAAACCGAATACGCTTGGGTGTTGCAAATGTCCTTGGGCGGTGGTTATCACTTAGCATCAAGTGAACTATAGGTCGCGTGCAATCTTCTCACTTTAATAATATCTGGAAGGAGGCTTGTGTCAACATTGCATTTTTAAAAGCTAAAATGTTTACGGTGAATAAATACCATTTTAAACGTTAAAAATTATGATCAGTATTTTTTTCAAGTGAAATTGTATGAATCAAAGCATCCGATTTTCCCGTTTATTCTTAAAGTAACATTCATCATTGTCAATGTTTTAAACTTGCAACACTGCAGGAGCCAGTGCTAGCCGTGCCCCTACAATTTCTATTTACTTTAGAAACTTTACATTTCACAAAGGCGTCTCTCGTTATTAGTAAATAAAACTCGAAACGCAACTGTTTCGTATCTTGTTTAATGCCGTTTAACAAGGAATATTTTTTTCATAACAGGAAATTTGTAGCACGAACTTTTACCCTCGGTTTTGTTTGAGCCTTTTAATTCAAAACGATTACGAAGTACAAATTTAAAAAAAGATTAAGTTTGTTTCATAAGTAACCATTTTGCAATTGAGAATGAAGAGAAAATAGGATCTAACTATTTTTTAAAGGTTTATTAATTCGAAACGAAAACGTGAAGCACGCACGACATCGTTTCTATAAGTGAATTCTTATTTCAACTGAAACATATCGCACAATCCACTAAGATAATAACATTAGATAATGGCATGCAACCTATTTTCTATATCGTACCGTAAGGAACAAATTATCCACTAAACTAATTAAACTTAATTATTGTATTGCCACTAACGGAGCTAGGGGAAACCAGACAGCGTTCCGTTTACCTCTTTCCATTCCACTCCAAATCCAAAAAATGCCAAATTCTAATTCCAAAATCCAAATTCCTGAAAAACTGTGTTTCTTGAACTCTCTTAATAGATTGTTTAAACGTCAAACGAGACCGCTAGTTGATCGGCACTAATATAAACCGTTTAGCGATTCCCCTCAAATATATGTGGTATAAACAATACTCTGATAAATCTAACTAAAAGAGGATGTCGGCTGATGCCCTCAATTTCGCAACAAGCGAATGATGTTGCGTCGCGTAGATAAGTCATTTTATGTATTTGTGATTCATCACGGACACGCTGGAGCTCGCGAGACGCCATCTTGTTTTGTCATCGCTACCGATGCGGTCTTTACCTCCACGCGGGTTTTTTCGTGATGAGTTATGCAGAATAATGACTTCAGTGGGTTTCGGGACTTTGATAAGCCTATTAGGTAATAGAAGAAAAATCGATCTACCTACTACTTTTTAGAAAATGTCCTTTTATCCCTGTTTTCAGGGAATGAAAAATAACATTCAAATATGACACTAAATTTCGCCGCAAAAAAAAAGGTTGTAATAGCTCGGTCGGTAATCGCGCGGCCCCAAAACAGACGGTCGCGGTTCGTATCACGATCATTTACACACTTATTTTTTTTACTTTTTTTTCAATACCAGATCATTTTATTTATTTTTTATTTCCAAAAATTATTACATGATTTACTAAAAATACCGAGAAAAGCTTGGTCCTCCAGGTACTAATATTTACGTAACAAACTTTTAGAAATGCAGAAGTTCGATAGCGGTCTTATCGCTCAGAAAGCGATTTCTTCCAGACAACCATTGCGAAATAATTATGGCTAATGGGACATAAATACATCGCATATATTTTTCAAGCCCCGTTATATCATATGTGGCACTTAATAAAATGGAGTAGAGAGGGACAGCTCTCTTGTGTGTCTTATTATTAGGATCCAAACGTAATGGAAATTGTCTTGTCTAAATATTGACCACTGGCCGTGGCGCAGTTGCCGAGGTATATTGGCTTCGGCATCGGGGGTCGTGGGTTTGATGCCCACACGGAACAACTATTTGTGTGACCCACATATAGTTGTTTCGCATCTGAGTGTTTGTTTATGTGAAATTTATGTTTGTAAAAAAACCCTTACAACATAGGATAATGTTAGCCTAAGTAAAGGATATGTTTTGAAAAAAAAAAGAAAAAACTTTGTTATACTCTTAAGTTGCTTTTTCTTATGTGTTTTCGTATGAGGTTCAATGCTGACATTTCGCCCATCGCGCCCCGCCGGCGGACATATTGACAAGCGCCATCTTGTTTTTAGGCAAAGGCAGGAAGCGTCGCCTCTCGCAAACGCCCCAAGTGGTCGTCCAGCCCAAAGTGCAGAAGCCAGCCGCGACGCCCAAGCCGCAGCTGGTGGTGAAGGCGCAGCCGCAGAAGCCGCTCAAGGTGACGAACCTCCAGGTGATACACCCGCAGCCGACGAAGGTCTACTCCAAGCCGGTGGAGCCGGTAGCGCCGCAGCGGCGCGTGATCAGGGTGGCCCCGGTGGCGGGGAATCCCCGCTCGATACTGCTGCCGGTCACTATCAAGGACATGAAAGAGCTGAAGTCGATCAAGATAATCAACGCGGCCGACCTGAAAAACGCGCCCAACATCAAACTGGCCGCGGCGAACCTCCTCACGCAGAGGAAGCTGCAGGAGTTGAAGGCGGAGGCGCGCGAATACGAGTACGAGCACGGCGCCAACCACTGCGGTGAGTGGTGCCCCTGTTCTCTCATCGAGCAATGGTTTTTTTTTTTGGCCTTGTTGAGCCACTGTTGGCCTTAGGGCCTTTACAGATCACAAGCAATGGGCGAAACTGTAATATCAATAAAGTTGTAGGGAAAAATAAATCGTTTCTTAAAACAAAGGTAAACGTGCACTCGTATTACATAGATACAAGTGTTCATTTAACTTGGTTGTGTAAACTTTTGTATATGCAATATGGACATATTTAGACATACTTTACTAACTTATAAAAAAGTTACATCCTATATGTCCCACAGCTGGCCAAGAGCTCCTTTTAGCTCCTCCCCAAGAGGGTATTAGGTAGGCGTACCTAGTAGTAGGCATTTCAGATTTCACATATGTTCGAGGTACTTTTTTTGCTAATTAAGAAATAAACAGGTTTCCTTACGATTTTTTCCTTCACCGCTCAGCGCGTGAAAAGTCAACACGTCAAATTACAACTTACTATTTTATTGAAACTGCCGCCGGGATTCGAACTAAGGTTGCTCGAGCATACGAAATTAAAAGCGCGCGCCCGGACACTGAACTATCACGGCTTTTAAAGGCGTGTTAATAAGAATAACAGATTCTAAAAGAGCATGAATCGTTATTAAAATACCCGCTGACTCAGTTTCCGAGCTCTCAACTTTACCTTGAAGATTGAAGGAAAAAAACACGAGGAAACATAAACCCAGCAATGGCGTGTTAGCTACTGAAAACAAAAGCTGCAGACATCCCAGTTTTAGTTACCTCTTAAGGTTAACTCGTAATTGTTGCCTACAACTATCTTTTTTTTTATGTGAAAAGTTGCCAAACGAGCAGACGGTTCACCTGATGTTAAGTGAATACCGCCGCCCATAGACATCTGCTACACCCGAGAGTTTGCAGATGCGTTGACAACCTTTTTGGAAATTGGGCTATCTGATGCAACCAGACTATGCGATGGTATGTCCTCACACTGCTAAGCATATCTTCCGGCATACACATAGGCTGTCACTTTACTTGTACAGTCTTGTAATTCTTAGTAATTTATTTGATTGTTGTCTTCAATTTTTGTCGCCTCAACACTTATTTCGCACCGACACTCGTCTGCGCTAGATGTTAACATATTGATCAAACAAAACGCTGTAGAAATTGGAGCGCCGTCTCGTATCGCTTTGATTGGACGTAATTGTTCGAATGCGCCCGCGTGCCAATTTTTTCGATGTTGTCATTGCTCATCGATTGAAACGAACTCTTTAACATTTTCCATTTAATGTCCCCCCTTTTTCTTACCCAAAACCCTCCCCCCCCCACCCCCCAATTTTATGATGCTCTTTTTTCTTCAATATGGATTCAGACTTTCCCCTTGTACATCCCTCCCGCCTCTGTACCAACCCCATTCCCCCCCTCCCCCCCACCTATCCTTACCCCATTTTATGATGCTTTCTTGTTCTTAGTATGGATTCTGATTATCCCGTTGTAGTTTCTAGTTTCTAGAATTATGAAGACTAAATGCAAAATAGAACAGGAAGTACTTAGTTAAATATTGTTAAATGGATAATTAAGCTTCCCCTTCATATATTAAATTGGTACATGAAACACGCCAATCACTGTCAGTATGGCAAAATCTGTGGACTTTTATTATATGCTATTTACATTGGTCAAATGTGTATATGGGTCGTTGGTTGAAGTCTGACGGAGGAAATCCACGACTCATGGGGTTAGCCTGATGCTTAGCACTTGCGCCGATTGTGTCATAAAAAGAGAAGTAACATGTCCACTGCTGGGCAAACGCATTTGTAGAATGTGTATTAGGGCATAGACCACCACGCGACCCCACCGCGGATTGGCACACTTCACATATCTTCGAAATATTTTCTTTTTACTATTTCGGAAATATGCAGGTTTCCGCACGATGTTTTCCTTCACTGTTAAGCACGTGTTAAAGCACTTAAAATTAACAATTTCGCTGCTGCCGACACCGGGATTCGAACTCTAGTTGCTCGATATTGAATTAAAAGCAAGCGCCCGGACACTGAGCTATCACGAGTTATCAGTGGGGTTAGTTGGTGTTTATTATCAACACAGCCACTTGTGAACCTGTTGATATGTTGTTGTTGTTGTTGTTGTTGAACCTGTTGTTACAAATGATGCACTGATCATGTTTTGTCGAAACAGTTAGAGATCTCGACAAGCCCAACTAATTCGATTCGAGATAAACCCAAACGAAACTTCGAAACGTCTACTGTCATGAAGTAACCGCCATGAAGCCAAAGCCATATCGTCGGGTCGACAGTTCCGTTAGCCCCGATAATCTCCCAGCGACTTCAATCTCGCAGATTCCTTGAACTTTTCGGCGTTGTTGTTAATTCCACGCGACGGGGCGTTTTCGCTTAATTTGCCCCCGGGGCCACAAACTGTGGCGTTGAAGTTGTAATTACTCGGAGGCGCGTCTCGTGCGTTAAATTTGAACTCCGAAGTCAATTAGTGTTGTGAACTTGCAACATTCCTCAAGTTATTATGTTTATTAAGTTTCCCTTTGAAACGAAGCTAAAATAATTTCTTACTTCTTGAAATTCGAAAAATTGATTGGCATGGCAATATTGAGCCGTTTTAATTCAATTCCTTGCGATGTCAACAAAAGAAAGTAAGTTTGAATACATATCTCTTAAAATGTAAAAATTCGTGGCTAGTCAGGTCCCGTAGACAACAGTCCCGTGAGCCTGAACGCTGTAAAGTGTTCAAAAAGTCGGGAGTTTAAAATCAAAATAAAACTTGATAAAATCCGCAAAATAAGTTAAAAACGCAAAGTGTTACATTTCTGCGTTTCGTCTGGTAAATGAGGTAGCCGGGGCCCCACTTTATTTAAAGCTGGCAAAGCATTTGCAACCCTACTACTGGAGTGCAAATGTCCATGGGCGGTTATCACTTAACATCAGGTGAACCGCCAGCTCGTTTGCCACTTTTCCACATGAAAAAAATATCCGATCTCCATTTCTCACCTGTTAGATGACTCTGGGAGCGATCGCAGCGATGACGACGAACCGGACCACAAGGAGGGCAAGTTGCCCGACGGCAAGAACGGCTATCCCCGTCTCGTTCTCACCGCCGAGGAGAGGCGCCTGCTGGCGAAGGAGGGCATATCGCTGCCGACCAGCTACCCCCTCACCAAGCACGAGGAGAGGGAGCTGAAGAGGATACGCCGCAAGATCAGGAACAAGATCTCCGCCCAGGACTCGCGCAAACGCAAGAAGGAGTATGTCGACGGACTGGAGGACAGGTGAGGTCCGCCTTCCACTCCCACTGACATCCGACACTTCCACATCCTACGACCCCATTGGCGTGGGGAGTAGTGTACCTGCCTCCTGCGCCGGAGGGTGGGGTTCGATCCCCACTATTGGAAAAATATTGTGCGATGAACATAGTTTTCCGAGTGTCTGGATGTCTATATGTGTATGATATATATTTATTTTCCAAAAAAAAGTATGTTTAAGTATAGTTTTCCATTTTCTAGTACCCAAAGCCTTGTGCGTTGCTTAATTTGGGACTAGAGAACGTTGTGTAAAAAATTTTTCCGGGAAACATACCGATTCCTTTTATGGGACAATGCATACGTTTCTACAACAAAATCCCACACGTTTAAAATGTATCTATAGCTAAATTTAGCACTGGAGTTGAACTGATGAATAGATCTTTAATATATTCATGCCGCATAATATTTATTATGGTCCAAAATTTTACAATCATTTGTTTAATATTGGAACAACACACGACTGTTTCTGGCAACCATAGGTAATTATCGCGACATAAATTCAGTATGATTGTATAACATTTTACGATTTCCTTCGATACTGTAGATATTTTTCTTGTGGACACAATTGCTACTTCAAGGTCCTTTTGCCTTTACTGAATGTTTGTCATTGTCGAAACAATGTACGAGCATGCAGTAGGAAAGTTATTAATTTCATTCTATCTTATCGATTATGTTGACAGAGCATATTACTTTTGCGTAATCGCAAACATTTATTATTAGGGCAAGGGCGAACATCGAGACGGTAGTTATTTTATCGGACTGTAATAAATTATTGGTATATTATAATCTACGGAAATATTATGTCAAATACGTATTAAACTGTTTTGCGGCTATTTCAATGTTTTAAGGAAACGGACTAAAAAACAAGAAAAGCGCGCGAAAATAATTCTCAATATGTCGACATTTAATTAATGTTATCGTTTAGCGCCAGTTTATTCTCCGTAGGCTGTGTTAATATTACATCAGTAAATCGGTTTAGAATTACTTTTAAACTTATTAAGTAAATTGTTTGTCTTTAAACAAATAGTACTTATAACTATGTGTTTATTAACATTAGCGCCATTGTTACGATTCTTTGTTACTTAAATACATTTTCTTACGTCGTAAATATATTGCCCTTCTCGCACGGATTTCCGTAAAGTGATTGTCACCTTATTCGGTCCGATACAAGATGGCCAAAAGCGCTGTGGTTGGCATTGGCATAAATCACAACTTTGGGCTTTATTTTTATGACCGGCTTATATCCAACCACCCGGGTGGCTGAAAGTAAGATAAGATGACGATGCGTTTCACACCAGACCCCTTTTTTATGTGGATACTTTGTTTTTATCCGTAACTATAAATACATATTACCACACATACTTTTTCCTTACGTAAATCATAGTACCTAGAAATAACAAAAATAAAAAATAAATAAAATGATCTGGTATGGAAAAAAAAGTAAAAATATATAAGTGTGTAAATGATCGTGATACGAACCGCGGCCGTCTGTTTTGGGGCCGCCCGATTACCGACCGAGCTATTAAAACATTTTTTTGCGGCGAAATTTAGTGTCATATTCGAATGATATTTTTCATTCCCTGAAAACAGGGATAAAAGGGCATTTTCTAAAAATGAAACCTAGCTAGATCGTTTTTCGCCCCCGAATCTACGCACATACTAAATTTCATGAAAATCGCTGGAGCCGTTTCCGAGATTCCGATTATATATATATATATATATATATATATATATATATATATATATATATATATATATATATATATATATATATATATATATATACAAGAATTGCTCGTTTAAAGGATAAGATTATGTATTTAGCATAATTACAATCACATAATGACGACAATTTTAAAAAACAAAATTTTTTAATCACTGTATGTAGATATGTCCATATCTTCAGTTATTTCCGCGACCAAAAATAGATTATTACCTACCTACTTACGAAATAAATAAAAAAAGAACACTAACATAATTATAACTAATTTCGATAAATTTACTACTTTTCTACACCTTTGCAATCTTCATTAATCATATAAAATCAGTTCTTAATTTCAATGTCAATCTGGTCAGTATGGTCAATATTTAAAGTCTACTTAACAGCATTTGCTAAGCTAGAAACTTGTACTAACCAAGGAGTATTAAAAAGCTACAGCATGCCTTTTTTTATATAAAAATTTGCCAAGCGAGCAGACGGTTCACCTGATGTTAAGTGAATAATGAGAACCCTTTGAAAATTGGGCTCCGGCCACCTCACTCACCAGACGAAACGCAAAAGTATTATACTTCCACTTTACACCGGTCTTCTGTGAGGTCGTGGTACTTACCCGGACGAGCCTGCCCATTCGTGCAACAGCCGAGGCTGCTGCGTGGCCCTTCCACCACGGCTATCACTACTTTTATTATTACCGAGCAAATTTGTAGTTCAGGATCTGACTTAACGAGTCTATTCGTCCACAGGGTAAAGCAGTGTACCGCTGAGAACCAGACGCTGATGAGGAGGATAAAGATCCTGCAGTCTCAGAACCAGACCCTCAGCGCACAGTTGAAGAGGTTACAGGTAATTCTTTCCAGCCCTTCCACCAAAATTCCAGAAGATCCTTTACCGATTGCCAGCTCTGTGTCGCTTTTTCCCTCGAAGTTTAGGGCGTGACGGCTAAAACGATTTTTTGCAAGTGATATTTCATTATAGCACGAGTGCCTATATCAAAATTATGAAAATTGGTGGATAAACGGTGGATTTTCGACGTCAAAATGTATTCAAATTTGTAAATTTTTCGTCGCTGTGGGAATCGAGCTCACGTGTTTCGGACTCGCGCCCATAACGTTTTAACCACTAAACTAAACGGCCGATCGCCACACCGAAGAAGATCTCAACGTCTTTTATCCGCATTGCTTTTTCGCATTTCAAGCAAAGCTTAGCGCATATATTGTTAAATCCTTTACAATATAATTATAAACAATTTCAAATAACGTTTTACGACGATAATTCGAACGAATGTCGGCAATTGCTATGAAAAATTTAGATATTATATACTGCTTATCTTCCGTATTTTTTAATTAATTATCTTACCGCATAAATTGGCAGTTAATTACTTGTTTGTTAATGAATACTGTATGGGTACACAATCTGCATTATCAAGAACGATTAAGTTTGTAAAGTAGGTGATTAAAGTTAATTAAATCACCTATTTTGATTGTTATTATTGGTGGGTCGAATATAAAAATATGTGGAAGTAGGAATATGAATTTGATAATGTAATTTTTAAGTCTCTCGACTTAGATGCAACATAAAATGTGTAGGTTAATCGTCGGAAAATTTTTCGCCGCCGCAGTATTCGAACCCGCGACTTCCAGATTAAGCATTCAGACGCTTTAGCCACTACGCTCGAACATGTTCGACCTCTTAGCGTAGTGGCTAAAGCTTTAAAATACAATAACGTTAAACTTGCCCAACCCACATGTGTCATTGGTCCTCCTATGCATAAACAAAGTGTTAATTAATTACTGTAGTAGGGCCATGTAGCAGATTTTGCTGTTGCACGAATAGGCAGGCTCGTCCGGGTAAGTACCACGACCACACAGAAGACCGGCGTACTATTCCTTTCACAGAAGACCAGCGTGTAGTAGAATTATCATTATACCCCTCGGGCCGGAGCCTCCGTTTTTAGGGATCCGTACCTAAAGGGTAATACTGGACCCTATTACTAAGACTCCGCTGTCTGTCTGTCACTAGGCTGTATCTCATGAAGCGTGATAGTTAGACAGTTGAAATTTTCACAGATGATATATTACTGTTGCCGCTATAAACAAATATAAATAAATAAATAAAATATTTAAGTGGGGCTCCCATACAACAAACGTGATTTTTAGCCGTTTTTATAGATAATGAATAGTACGGAAACCTTTCTTTCAGAGTCCGACTCGCACTTGGACGGTTTTTAATGTTTGGCAGCGCATCTGCAACCGCTCATGTGTTTTAGATGTCGATAGGTGGTGGTAATCACTTATCATCATACAAATCGGTTGCCAACTTTACACAAAAGAAAAAAAATTTCAGGAGACAAGAAACCTTATGCGGAGCGTTCGATAGCGTCCCTTTTTTACAATTTCTTTTGAGTGTACTTTCTCCATTAAGCTAGCTAAACAAGGGAAATTCTTTTATAGCCTCGTCAAAAGCTCATTGTATACAGACGACACTTTAGATGTATCATTTATAAAAGCTCTTAGTTTCTCATAAAGCCCTCGTTCTTTGTACGAGAGCGGAAATTAAATAACAAAGTCGATTTTTATACTCTCCTCACAATAGCCGCTGTAGATCGATTTAATTAATTGAAGGTACTCGAGGAACTTTTCAAGTCCCAGCGCCGGCACCAATAAAATTATCTGTTTCAATTTTTAATGCTATTCCACCAAGTGCTCAGCGGTAAAGAAAAAGGTGGTGTATTAAAAATATCTTATATATGATTACATGAGATGGCCTATATTATGTAACTTTATATTTGCAATATAAACGTATTTCTTTTATTTTTGGTGTTATAAGTTAAAGCTTTTATTATGTTCATAATGTTCCCTGGAGTAAGCACTTTATATTTTGATGGTCTTTAAATTCCGCGATTACAAACAGGCATCTATTTAAAAGTATAACAGTCTTTCGTACTAAGCAACTATTAGGTCTATGTTTCTGTTTGTGTGTACTCTCTTTCAGAGCCATAACACTTATATCATCGAGCTATGTGAACTTGTTAATTTGGCACGGATAAGGGGTTTTCTACAGGAAGATAAGGAAAAATTTTCTCTGGAGAGGTCTTGAGTCTTCACGCATACTTGACACCGCATTACAATTTCATATTTCCACGCCCCCGTGCATAAATATTAAAAACTGTCCTCTTAATGCTAAAGTTTTACTAAAGAAGTGTTTTCTTATGTGAGGAAGTGGCAAACGAGCTGGTGGTTCACCTGTTAAGTGATATACTCCACCCAAGGACATTTGCAACACCCGCAGGGTTACAAATACGTTGCCACCTTTAAATAAAGTAGGCCCCGGCTACCTCACTCACCAGACGAAGCACAAGTGTACTACTTATCGCCGATCTTCTGTGAGGTTGTGGTATTGTCCCGGACGGACATGCCCATTCATTCAATAGTATACTGTTGCGTGGCCCTACCACAGTTGTTAGATAATTTAATAAAATTGACGAAACGACCTACATAGCTCCCTTCTTATATGTTAAGTTATATGTGGTAGATACGACAATTACTAATATTTAGGCACTCAGCTGATTTTACATTTGAATCATTTGAACGTCAACATCATTTGAATCAGTCACAAAATATGCCGTCGATGCCGCCCCAAGCGTAGACTACTTTACTGCAAAACAGTGGATGTACTCTTAAATGTTTCGAATTCAATTACCGTATCGATCGAGGTTTTTTTCGGAGTGTATGTTACATTTACGCGAATCCGAAACAATGTCGGACGTATCAGATTTTTTCTCGTGTAAAACGATTTCAAGCCAGCAGGCGGTCCACCAGATGTTAAATTATTATCTGCCCATGGACATTTACAATACTTGTGAGGGTGGAAATATATTCCGAACCCGAACACAGACGAGGTTCAATGCACCATTATTTCGGTCTCCCGCTTCCTCGGGAAGCGGTACCTCCTCGACGAGACAGCACATTCGTCTAAGCGGAAACTCCATCACAGTAAAAATTCTTCGCATTAGCATTCGAACGAAACGATAAAAGTTCACTCGTTCGTTTCCGTTTTTCGCAATAGTACCCCCGGCGCGCCGGGTGGCGTTGCTAAATGATGCCGCCGATGCAGATGGCAATAATGGCCCAGTTTATCGCCTATTAATCAACCGAATTGCGAGCGTCGGTATAGTCGAATTTGTGATTGTACGCGTCGCTAAATATACATTCGCCGCAACGCCACATCGATTGTGTCCACATTCGCGTGTACTTGGCTTTATGAATTATTGACGCCGCAGCGGAGCGAATCTACTGAAACGCTTCTCTGCATTTAAATTGGTATTCGCGTTTAATAGCTATGAGTTTTAGAGTGGTTTTGTATTTATTTTAAACTGATTATTTGAAAGTGGACAAGTCAATTGATGATAAACATTGATCGAATTAATGAATCGACCATTAAGTCGTTAATCGATGATTAACCATTCATCGAAACTTTATGGACCAATAGATTTCTTTGCCGTTTTTGATTACCTAAAGGGTCCCAAAATATCCCATACTCTGTGACGCCGCTAGGGGGTGTAATGCCATGCCCATTCCAGATGTCGTCACCATATACAGCGTGTCTTTACCCCCGCGACAATAAATGAACACACGTCTAACGCTACTTGCCAAAAATCATAAAAAATATCAACGTTAAAGAATATCCATAATTCAAATAAAATATTTTTCAAACAAACTAATTAAGTAAAAGAGACACAAAATCTGTACAACTACAACTGACGGAATCATACATTTAGAGACTTTTTCATTCGTTGCCACAGCGCCGCATTACAAGCCTCTCCTTCTAACATTATGTTTTGTCTCTTTTAAATTCATTCAACCCATTCATATGCTTTGTGATCTTTAGAAATGAACTTTACATTAAAGTTTTATACGTAAGGATGTTCTAAAATTCTTTATTTTGGAAAATTTGATAACTAGTTAAATATTGATGTTTAAAGAATGTAAATCTTTAATACACTTTTAAAAAGTTATCCTCTATATGTGTGTTCATTTATTGTCTCGATGGTAAAGTAAAACACGCTGTATAAGGTGTCATCCGCACAACATTCATAAATGTTTTGTGTATGTATATAAATAAATGTTAAACAAAAATTTAAGTAAATATTATTATACTGTTGAAAGATACGATGGCCCTGAAGTTCAAGGATCAAGATTTACTATAATAGCTTTCTTTGTAGTATGTTAAATAGCTATTGCTGATTGCGTGCAACTAATGCTGATGTTATTATACAGGGTGGCTTTTCTAAGTGTATCCATTTTTTATTCCATTCTAGACATAAATAACATTATATAAAAAATTATAAATATTTTAAATCACTCGTAAGTAAATAATTACTTTCATTTGAACTTATCTCCAAAAGTGCGTGATTTATACGCAACTCATTTATTTTACGCGCGATCATTCATAACTAACACGCACACAAGTTCGTGCACAGTAAAATTTAGGTATTTACGAATGACTACCGCATTGTCAACATGTTCTGTTTTTTAGTGAATAGAATGGCATTTTTTGGAAAAAAAACTTTGTTTTTTATTTCAATAAACGATTATACTACCAAGTCTGAACCTCCTGTGTAAATTTGGGCACTTCTCAAAAAATCTACCTGTATATAGGATTAAAAAAATATATTTCTCCTCAGAGTTTATTACCGGTTCCTCTCTACAGAGCTTTAGATTTGCGCACCGATGCTGGATTAAATAATATTTTTTTATATTTACGCGTACTACACATTAATCAATAATTTTTAAGGAATACATTAAAATTCCCTATATTTCGAACGGTTTGTCACATTCATAGTCACCGTACAGAACTATCGCTTGGAAAGGGGAAACGGTGGTAGGTTTTTACATTTACAAGTGCTCGAAATGAAACTTAATTTGACCCTCACATTCGGTACTGCACGGGCCCAATATTTCAACGTCATCGAAAATGTAACAACAAAGTGTCAGTTATCACACGTAATTATTTCGAAGTCAAAGAGGTCCATTAGTGATTTTCTGATATCTAAGCGAGAACTACATCGCATCGACTTAATCTATTTTTAACGTTCCAAGCGCTCTTTGAGAACATTTAATGTCCGCACGTTTCGAGTCATTTGCAGCGCCGATAGATAGGGGAGGTGCGGCTGAATCGCTGATCGATAAATTATAGTCTGATCGAGTGCAATTAATATCTCATTTACACTTGCGGCCTGAAAGTAGCTGACTGCGGTCCTCTGCTTTCCGTTTATGTCTTCTTAAATGCCTCACGTTATCATTTCTAATTTAAAGATACCGTTTATTGGTCCTTCGAAACGAGTACATTTTTGTTTACAAATAATAGCGACTTCAAATATCTCACTCACTATAACTTGAGTACTTCCCGTCCTTGAAATCGGTTGAAAATCTTATGGGCTTTCATTGACGATCATTCAAATTCCAATTTTGTTTAAACTGTAAAAAGTAATGCTTAATATTTATCTAGAATAAAGAAGCAACGTGACATTGTTTGTTTATCCGAATAGATTAAAAGAAACCTTATCATTTATTACAAAGCTACTTATCATAGCATTTGAATGTTAGTTTAATCATTACCGGAAGTAAATGATACCTCGCCGATATCCTTGCGAAAATCGTAAGAAGCAAACGCTGTAAAGCAGGAATTTCAGAATTCGTAAAACAAAACCTTGTCAAATCCAAAACTTTAACTGTATGTCCCTATGTATGCTTAGATCTCTAAAACTACCCAACGGATCCAGATGCGGTTTTTTACTAGAGTGAGTCTAGATGAAGGTTTATATGAATAATATATTGCACCCGTGCGAAGCTGGGGCGGGTCGCTAGTTCTGTAATATAAAACTGATCACAGAAAACTTCCTAAAAGTTTTTTACTTTTCCCTTTTATGTAGTGCGTGTGTATCACGGCACCAGAAAGTTGGTAGCGCCAATCCCACGGATATTAAGATGTCTTGGGATTGTCCGTGGGCATGTGGATGGTCCATTTATCAAAACGCAATCTACTCTCCGTTTGCGACAATGCCTCATAAAAAATCTGTCCATTTTCTCACCATAAACGTTTTAGAAAACGAAATTACGCTATCAGTATAGATAGCTGCCGATGCAAATTTGTTGGAAGCTTTCTTTAAAACCTGTTATCGACATGACAAACTAGAAATGCATATTTACATGTTAAAATAAAAAGCCCTCAACAGCGTTCTGCTTTTTAATACCATTCCATTTGCATTATTCAATTTTCGTTTCGATCCCCCGACTATTTCTTGAACATGGATCATCGTATGGATTCAATTACTGGATGTATTAATCAAGGCATTCTAAAACTTTATTTTATCTCGTCTTTACTCTTATAGTATATTCCCATATGTTTATTCTTATGCGACATAATAAAATATTTATCAACCATAAAACGGTGAAGCCTTCAATCTCAACTTGTTGAGACAAAGACAAAATTCATTTCATGTACAAATATTGCATCGCTTTGATCGATTCTGACTCACCTCTTGGCTCTGAAACCATGGAGTGGTGACACTCACACGTGATTTCATTTCATTATCATTTATCCTACTTAATCCGCCATAGCTGCTATATGAATTTCATAATCAAACTTTCGGTTTTATTAGACTGTACTTCTCTTATTTCTCTCCTGTTTACACATTTACCAAGATATTTTATTCTTTACTATTATGAGATTTAAACATTATTCAACAGAAATTTAAACATTGGAATTGTTAAGCTGTATTAATAACACCTATTACAAAAGTGTAAAGTATACTTTATAGTGATGATACTTTAAAGAAAGTAAGTTGTGTTATTCCATAAAACATAGTCTAAAATTCTTCGCACAAATAAATTCCCTTCTTTCTTTGTTTTAAAGTTGGTCTTAACGCTACGCTACGACGTTAAATTTCAAAAAGCAAATCCTTTCAGATCCGTACAAGGCAGAGTTTCGCCTTGTTTCCGGCTTCTACTTGCTGTTGCTGCAACTTACGCCATTTACCATCTTAATTGCAGAAGAAGATTGTTTTGTACTTCTTTTAAGCTGTAGCTTCGTTACAAAATTATTTGTGAATAATTTTCACTGTTAAAATATGGCAGTTTTATTAACATTTCATTAATACCAAATAGATTGTAGCATAATATTATTTATAGAATTCTTAGAAACTGCACCATACGTATATTATACAGCGTGTCGTTACCATCGCGACAATAAATGAACACACGTATAACGCAACTTGCCAATAATCATAAAATAATATAAAAATTAAACAAAATCCATAATTAAAAAAAAAATATTTTTCAAACAAACTAATTAAGTAAAAAAGAAACAAAATTTGTAACTTCCTATAGAACTCGCGCCACAGCTTCGTATTACAAACCTCTCCTTCTAACAGTATGTTTGTCTCTTTTAAATTCATTCAACCCATTCATATGCTTTGTGACCTTTACAAATGAACTTTACGTTACGCTTTTATAGGTAAGGGTGTTCTAAAATTCTTTGTTTTGAAAAATTTAATAACTCTGTAAATATTGATGTTTAAAGAATTTAAATGTTTAATACAACTTTAAAAAGTTATCCCCTATATGTGTGTTCATTTGTTGTCGCGATGGTAACGACACGCTGTATACTGCACCATACCAGCCGTTCGGACGATTTCAATATTTTCGTAAGGTTAAGGGAGTTAGTATAGAGCTTTGATTATATACTTGGTTGCATACAGCCTACAGTGTTCTGCAGGACGTGCATCTCATAGTGTCTTCATCTTTACCAACACACTAAATAAAACACTACAAACTGTTACATACTGCCAACCTCTTAATCCGGAGACCGTGCTAGCACCGTTGCATCGATATCATACCATCAACGTGTTCATCTGCAGAGCGTGCGGTCTAATGGTGCCTACATCTTTACCAACACAGCTAAATATACCACTGCGTAACACTACATACTGCCGAAGTCTTCATCCGCGCGCCGCGCTAGCACCGTTGCATTGGTTTCATAGTGCCCACATTTTCACCAACACGATATAAATATACAATTGCACGCCTACGCATCCGAAGAACGTGACAGCGTATTATCATCGGCTTAATACGCACGTGTCCATCCGCAGAGCGTGCTCACAGGCGTGACGAACGGCCCCAGCGGTAAGTCCGCCCAGCCGGCGACTTGTCTGCTGGTGCTGCTGATGTCCGTAGCGCTGGTGGCGCTGCCGTCGATGCGCGACGAGCTGCGGCCCCGCCTCGACGGGAGCGCGGACGCGCACGCGCACGCCGCCAACAGCGCGCACGCTTCGCCGTCGATTACACGCGCGCTTCTCTCCGCCACCAGCAGTAAGTAGCCAATTGGTCTTTATTCAGGTTCGAATTGTTCCAGTCCAGTTAGCCAGCGGATGAATCCAGTCCAGTTAGCCAGCAGATGAATCCAGACAACTGGATTATGTCTCTTGCATTGTTCTAGTTTTTCATAAGCTGTAAAGGTAGTAACTAAAGCGCGCACTTCTCTCCGCAACAAAGTAGACTAACTGGTCTTTATACCATTCCAGTCAGTAAGCCAGCGGATCAATCCGGTCCGCTGCTGGACTCGATTATATTTTTTACATTATTCCAGTCAATCAAAAGCTTTTCGATTAGTAACACTATAGTGAAAATGATTTCAAAAAGAAAAGAAGTACGAAACAAGTTCCAGGGGTAATAGAAATATCCAGTCCAGCATTAGTGTGGATTCTTCTTCTTTCAAAACGCGTTCAAGTAACACTGAGCAGGGCTTGCGTATATCCAGCTTCTGAGCTTCTAATTTAAAATGAAGATGGCTACTTAACCATTCTAAATTTTATTTTATGATACACGAAATCATTATGTGCGAAGACCCAATTGTCTACCTAGAACTAAGTCAAAACTTTAAAGGAACAATGTTTAACGCGTATTGATAGGAAAAACACGTGTTCCCTAATTTTGTCCACTTCCTTATTTTTTTTAGTAGATATCATAATTTACTTTAGGCTTTTTGAGACCAGTGTTTAAACTGAAAAAAATAGCCAATTAAAATCATCCAGCATCTAAATGTTATAAATATTTATATATCGAAAAAGAAGCGCTTACCAGGGTTGGTAAGCGCTTCTTTTTCGATACATATATATATTATATTTATAAGCTAGTCATGAATTCGTTTAGTAGTGTAGTAAATAAATATGTAAAAAGTATTGTTGTGTTACCTGTGCAAATGTGCAGGTGGCTCGGAATCGTGCTTAGTGGCAGTCTGGGATAAGGCCTTTGTTCAGCAGTGGATTTGAAAAGCCGGACATGATGATAATAATAATGATATTTCCATTCAAATAGCAAACATCGACTGCATATTGTAACTCAAAAAAATCCCTTTAATTTTCATTTGGAAAACTAAATACTAGACAAAAACTGCAACAGTCGTTACTTATCTCTATCTTACAGAGCCAGGCAGACACTTCTGCATAAAATCGTAAAATTTTGCAAAAAAAATATGTCTAAGAGATTTCACACCATATTCAGGCATCCATTCAGTGTGATTGAAACAGTTGCACAAGAACTAGGAAGTTACGTGAAATGCGGAGTTCGACTAGACCGTGACGCCTTTCGATTTTCGCTGGAAACGGTGAAAGCGTTGCAAATCCCTGAACGGTTTTATTTAAATTTACAATACACACCGCTCGCTCCGCGGTCGAGGGAAACTTTCGTAACAATAAAAATCCTGAGACTGCACTGTTGTAGAAAGTTTTATAAGCTTTTTATTTCTAGCCGCCTAAAGCGGTAAATATATTAGAGAGGAACCGTTTACCGTTCGTAGCGGTGAATGTTCCACCTCTCTAATATCAGATTGAGTTTCAGCAGTAAATATTTGATCTTGACACAAAATCATCTTTGAAGCAGTGACCTCCACTTCGACACTTCTAATGCCATATGACAAAGTTTCGTTGAGTCGAGAAATTCATATCTCAGGTTATAAGCTAACGAGCTTAACTTGTAAGAGTACACATTTGGAAATTAGTATAAGGACTACTGGGGAACATAAAATTCGGTATTGCCATAATTACTCTTCGACATTATCGATGTTGACTTTATACATGACTCGCTCTAAACTTCTGCAAGTGCCTTGCAGAAGTTTCAGAGCGAATCATTTAATAATATATAATACAAAATTTTATATGAATTATATAAATTTTATATAATTTTATATTATAATATGAATATTACACTTTTTTTTCGAGAAGGAAGCATATAAATGAACTCCATCCCTATGAAATTACCAATATCACCGTCCTTCATCTGGTTACATGAAACTTTTTAATGGATTTTATCGCGTTTCTATCGTTCATAGTCACTGAACGGGCCGTGAACGCTGGACGAGTTCATCATCATCATCATCATTTCAGCCTATTTGAGTCCACTGTTGAACATAGGCCATTGTGTTCACAGAAAGTGGTCGATACTTCGGGAATTTGAAATTAAATTAGAACGCAATAAAATAAGTAAAACAGTTTTATTTAGCCATGTCTAATAGTCGCGTAAAAACAAAAATCACCAATCATCTATCGACTTCCTAATCGTTCGTTCATCGCGAACACTTCGAATGTTGCTATATAGCATTTTATTTATTTATTCTTTATATCAATTACCTTAAGCAAGGATTACAAAGGGCGAACTTAATGCCTTTTAGTATTCTCTCTCAGTCAACCCGCAGCGTGGTGAGAAAATGTAGGAGGTGCAATTATTATATTAATTACTAGCGGCCCGCCCCGGCTTCGCACGGGTGCAATGTATTAGACATATAAACCTTCCTCATGAATCACTCTATCTATTTAAAAAAAAACCGCATCAAGATCCGTTGCGTAGTTATAAAGATCAAAGCATACATAGGGACAGTCGGACAGCGGGACGACTTTGTTTAATAACATGTAGTGATTTAACATTGTCCTCGGACCCACCGTCGGGGTCACGGTCCGCACCGAACCTCGATGACCCGTAGGCAACATGCCAAAATTAACGCACGCATGAGTACATGCGCGGCCCTACCCACTGAGTAAGGGCTCAAACCCGTGAGTTATGGCTAGCCCACCGGCTCTGCGTTCGATGAAGCTTTAATAGTCTAAGGACTGAAAGCGTAACATCAGTTATACAAATAGAACATTGTCCATTGCAGAAATGGCCCTCGAGGAGACCGTGATCGACGACGGCGAGTTCAACATGGACGAGCTGATCACGTTCCGGCCGCACCTTGACCACGACTACCAGGCGGTGAGGAGCTCGGCCGAGTCGGCCAAGCCGCTCGCCGGCGGCTACGTCGACCTGCCGATAGACGAGGACTGGCCGCCGAGCCTCAAGAGGCGGATCAAGAAGCTCGAGTTCGACCTGGACGACGGACGCGACTACTTCCCGCCGATCGTGAAAGAGGACAACTACGTCAACTCGAGGGCCACCAGGCAAGCAGACGATGGGGCCCAATACGCTAAGGGGCTGTTCACCAACGCGCTGCTGTCGACCACACGCAAGCTGGGCGAGCTGCTCGACTCCTTCCCGGTGCAGGTGAACAGCGACGAGTTGGTCGTAGAGGAGGTGAACCACCACGAAGCGAGGAACGCCACAGGCGCCAAGAGCTACGTCGCGGCCGGCGGATACGATTTCTGAATTTCAACACGCTGTGCACTTTCTTGTTAATTCTTATCTTTCCTTTCGCATATACTTTATTATTGTGTATTCGTAAAGAATACTTTTGTTGTCGTAATGTTTCAATGCAATTATTTTTCCCTTAGCGTAAGTTGACTCGGGATGTCTGTCCATTTGTTTACAATTGAGAATGCGTTATTTGTAGAGACGTGTTTTGTGGGCGTTGTTTTGAGCAGCGGCGAGTTTGTGACGAGAATTTATTATGTCAAATTGAGTATCATTTATTTGCGATGCATAATTGTTGGATATTTATTTTATTCATCGAAATTAATATATTTTTCTTATACATTTACATTACAGTTTTTTTTTTTTGTTTTATGTAAGATAATTTTAAGCATTTCAGTGTTAGAATTTGGTGCAATTATATGTAGTTGCCGATCTTCAGTGCTAGCTAGTTATATTTTAAATATTTGAAATAAGGCTTCGATTTTATAAGTTCTTGTTCCTTCGCTGACCTAAACCACACTTTGTTTTCAGAGAGCCGTTGGAATAAGACTGTTAATTGGAATAAATTAAATTCTACACTTACAAGATCTGTGTTTTCCTACCAAAATCCACCTGTAAGAAAAGATAATTCACAGTTTAAGCATAAGTTTGTTGCAAATAGAGGTTTGATGACTTTTCTTAAAGCGAATTAAAAATGATTTCATATTTTTTTTTAATAATTTGGCGATAATACTTACTGGTCTTCAGTAAAAAATCTTGATGGTGCATTTGACTATAAAATGGAAAAACGCACATTTGCCTGTGGCCATATCCTTGTAGAAAAAATCTCCATGTATTTTCAAATTTCTCATTAAATTACAAAAAAATTACCAGAATCATATACTACTTTTACGTAATTTGAAACTTATTGTACAATGCATTCTTCCCAAATATCGGTCCGGGTGCGGTCGAATGCTTGTAACAAGTGTTGAAGCTGTATTAGGGTAGCAAAGCCATTAAGTAGTGAGATGAACCTTCTATAAACTTCTGCTCTCCTAGTACTTCGGAGTGTGCTGGTCTCTGCGATACGTGTTAGTCTCTTCTAAAAATCCCATATACTGTTTTATTACTAAATAATAAGAATAGTATAGTCGACACGCACAGCATTTACGATTATTATTAATAACACTCTTCCGTTGACTTCTAGGTGAAGTTTCAGCCATAGTCATCAGTGCAACTTTAAGTTAACAATTATGAGAATTTTTTTTTATATAATCTGTTCCAATGCAGCCCATCAGATTGTTACTTAGAACACATATATTGATAACCCAACCAAGTTTTTTCTACGTTTAAACAAATAAATTCCATAATACTCGGTACCCCCAACAATATATACTCGTTTTCAAGTTATTAAAAAAATAAAACGAACATCTTATAATAAGCTTTATTTAATTATGAGTTAACAAATATTTTCGTATTTTTGAACAGTTGTGACCTTAACTGAATACAAGTCAAATTGCATACGCAAATATTTATACATGTTACAGAGAAAAATAAACACTGAGACTGGTTCTATAATAATAATGAAATATTTATTTATTTACTTTTATACTTAACAATAAGAATTCAATTCAGTTTCAAAAGCATCATGTATTATAATACACAAGTTAAAAACTAGAGCTCAGAAATCCTCGTGCGTCCCACAAGCCGACCGACTGAACGTCTTTGTAAGCGACTCTTTAAAAATTATATTTTAAATTAACTAGGCAGTGGACGCGGCTCCGCTCGCCGCGGTCCGCGTACAACGCGCCCTCCGCAATAAATACTCATTTGTAACTCCATTTACAATACGTAAATACAATCGAAGTGTGAAAACGTAATAAGTTGGTGCCTAAACGTTATTAAGCTAATGCACGCAATTGGTCTGTGCGAACCCGATATGGCCCTGTCCGCAGTGACCGCTTGTCGCACTCGGACCCTCCGCATGTGTATAAACCCTCTCCGCACGACACTCCGGATTTGAACCGCTTTTGGTAAGAGATCACATTAAAATTTTTTCATTCTCATTTCTATACCAATCTAATTTGATAGTCTATCTAGCAATTACAAAGTAACAATTAGGTACAAGTATTGGTTGTAATGATTTTACAAGACTTACGTCTATTATTCGAATACACTGCAACTTTACAATAATTGAATCTATTCAACGAGAGGAATATTTTGTTTATAATAATTTATCAAAAAAACTTTCGAAATTCTCATTTTAGAGTCAACCGTAAATACATTGATGACAATCGAATTTTCTATACTTTCTTTAGCTAAAAATATGAAAACGATACAACAATTAATTTATTATTTAAATTCCGAAAAACGTTTTCATATCCCCATCGGCGGGGCAATATATTTGTGATGTCTACATAACTGACTAATCTGAAATAAATTCTTGTTCAGCGTGCTTTATGGTATTGTTCGCGTTACATCATCAAACGGGTGCTCACGGGCAGACTTTTGACGACTTAGAACACTACCGCGTTGCCATGACAACCACCAGCTGAAACCATCACTACGAAGTGATCCCCAGGCGGGTCCCCACCCGCAACTAAACGCGTCCCAACACTACGCAAACGTGGCGACCCTAGGCTGTACAAATATACACGCTGTCGCGGCGACAGCACTCAGTCTGTTCGCACACCGCCCGTACTTCCAGAACATTCTGGATACCGGCCCCGAGGATCAGTCGAAGGGCCATTGATTTACAAACCAGGAACGAATAAAGGAAAAGCGGAAACCAACATCCGACAATAGCCGGCGTTCTCAGTCCGACACCGAGTTGTGATGGGACAACCAATTCACGCCTTGAGTTGGTTCGATACCAACTTTAAAGAGTCCAATTCTGCCACAACCCAAGCCTAATAACCCTTTCGAACGAAAGACGCAGCAGTTGGACAATATTTGTATAGCTACCGAATTAGAGACGTGTCAAAAACACGCTAGTTTATGGGAGGCTACATGGTGAATTGACAACATACGGGGGCCACGTGTTTGTACGCGAAATGTCAGTCTTGTAACGTTGCAACGGCGCACCGCCGATCGGAACAAACCCCTTCCCACTAAAACCGCTCGCCCTTAACAAATGTATTATATTATTGCACGCTACCATACATCGTCTATGCAAACGAACGTTGATATTTTTTGGATCCAGCATTCTCGTAGCTCGCCACGAATCGTACCACTTAAAACTGTTCACTGCCCCGATTCGCGTTTCGCGTAGCGAATTGAAATCATCGAAACGGATTACAATCGGCGACTTAAAACCTAAAATAATATAAATATAAATAAAGATAGGTGTCTGGCAACCCTATAGGAATGGAGCCGTTGTAATAGTATGGGTAAAACGTTGCCCTCCGTAAATAAGTGAGCTCGATTGGTGAACTAATAATAATACAACTACAATTAAATTATAACCGTTGTGTTGAACGCCGAATGCGCTTTTTTCTCAATTCATTCTTCAAGTGTATTTGCGGGTACAGCATAATACCGATGTCACTTTGAAAAGCTAACCTGACCTAACCGCGATTCAACTCCGACAACTAATGCATTCGAATTTCAGAGTGGTCAGGTTAGTAGACGAAAACGAGACTGGTGTTAATATCACAAAAGAACAAACGATCAGAAACATTTTCGACGAAAATGACGCGACACAACCCGAACACTAAAATGGCGGCCTCAGCGCTCAACACAGCGCCGGCTTCCACCGCCAACGACCACAAACACGATGCAGCCGCGAAACACCTAAACTATGGTAAATCATTGCTTAACGTAACAGAAAAAATATATATATATATAAATGTATAATTACATCGAATAAGAGAACTCGCGGGACGTACTAAAGTAAACGACTACCGAACGCAACAAAGCGATACACGACTAATATACGGTAAGTGTTTGTTATTAACTACATACAGTACTCACGATATTGACATACTAATGTACTACAGCGCGTACTTGGTTCGTGCTACGAGCTGGAAGGCGGGCCGGGGGCGAAAACGCGCCGGCGACAGGGTTGTCACGTCCCAAATTCAAATATATAAAAAAAAAACATAAATAACTCTTCAGTGGATGGTGGACCTTGTAACATAACTCTACGGACGGGAACACAAACGATAAGCCTCGCCGCCCACTCCCCGCCGACGTACGGACAGCAAAACAACGTGCGACTAGGTGACGGATGAAAGAAAAATACACGCTATACGACAGGCACTGCGTGAAACTACGAATTATGGAGTTGGAGATGAGCCGACCGTTAATCAAAACTATGGACCGTCGAAAATAATAGGGCGACAACGTTTGCGAAGACTAGATTAATCTGCTGACCGTATGCGTTAGGCATTTGTAAATATTACTATATTAGGAGACGAATTAACGCAACGACCGTAGGGCGACTATAATTGTATCTTTCGCTCCATTAGTATGGGCGCTAGCGTTAACTGTCCAATAAAATAAAACACACTAGGCAACACTTAACATGAGCCCCCCATCTCTAACAGGCCTAGAATTAATACTCCCTTAGTTGAATTATGTTAACATCATTCAATTTATTCGTAACACTCCCCCTATAGAGAAATAAAACCACGTACAAAATTACAGACTCGCGGGCACTCGCGAAATTATAGTTACAAGAGAACATTGCTTTGATACGTATATAATTCATAGGCACGAGGCGATTGCAAGCACCGAGTCGACCGATTTCATCTAAGAATCATTTTTTACATACACTATAATAACGACTTGTCTGCAGATTACACGATTTATTACTTTCAATATTGATTAGCAGTCATTGGAGCGTTCACTCGATCCGCTTCTATGGAATTAATTAGTTTAAAATGGAGAAAAACATATTTCGGACATGTTAAATAAGCCGGTTTCTTCTCGCACGTAAATCACTCGAACATAGACACTCTCGTGAATTCTAGAAACTAACAGTAACAATAGTTATCACACGTGATTAGAAATCCCTTTATCGATTAATACATCACCCATTAGCACTCGTACAAATCGAAAGAAACACTCGCAAATGAAATAAAACATTTCTGATGTTTTGCAATACGATTGTGTATTTAATACGATTGCTATTTGCTACTTGTTATTTTTAATCGAATGCATGCGCAATAAACAATTTGAGGGTTGCCTTTTAACAAGCAACGAATTATATTTCTCTATGTTATATACTGAAAATGGATGAAGTCGGGGTATATAGATCACTTATGTTAGTGTAGTGTAGAAAATGTACCTCGACACATCGACTCCATTGTTAATGCGAATAATATATCCCTCGTGTTTCTTATTATCAACACGGTGATTAAATATTGCTAACATATCATTTCTCGTGGTATCACTAATCGAAGTTAACTTTAATCAACTAGCAATAGTTTACAACAGTCAAAGTCTTTGTCCACACGTTTGTCACAATGACAGCTGTCACGGGTTTGATCGAAATAAGCGCGAGGGGGGATGTAATATTGCGTGGAACTGGTTCGCTAGCCGCCATCAGAAAAACGCCACACGCCAGAAACGGAAACACCCGCAAGCCGGAATTCGGGGCCGCCATATTGGATCCGGGTAGACAATCGGAAATGACGCGGCAGCCAGCCGGCACTTGCCTATTAACCGCACCAGAACGACCTCCGTCTATATAGAGATATGGACTGTCCCGAAAATTGACTATACCCAAAAGCGACGAACGGGACACTGATATTACCAGATAGTAGTGATGAGGCAAAATTTTGGATGATTGGTCCATGAATCGAGAGGACCGAAATCGGGTATGGTAATTGAGAGCGGGCGCAACGCAAAACGAACGGCGTGGGGAAACTGGCTTCCGGATGTTTGCGTATAGTTCGAACCGATTCTGTGATGTACCGAAACGGGGTGCGGTGAGAGGGAGGAGCGGTCGCGGACGGTTCTTTGAGTGGGGATATTGCATTCGAAAGGGCCGCAATAGTTTGTGGGGTGTCGCATTGGTCGCGGACGGTTTTCGGATGGCGGCGGCGCGTCGTTCGCCGGGTGGCGGGTGTCGGGTGTCGAGTGTTGGCGGGTGATGGCGGGTGACGGCGGGTGGTGGCGGGTGGTGGCGGGTGCGGGCGCCGGCTAATGCGCGGGTGCGGCGTGGCGGGGTCAGGTGGCGCGCACGCGTCACTTGCCCGCGCGCGCCGCGCACTTCTTCTTTTTGCGCTTGAAGAAACAGCAGCACCTGGAATACACGGATTGCCTACATGACGATTTACAGAGTCTGCCTGCGGACGGGTGCGTAGGTACGGCTGGTACATTGCCACAGCGGCTAATTGGAAACACAGGTGTCTTCAAGTGCCATGCGATAATAAAAGACGTTATAAAATCCCCTCGGCACTTTAATAAAATACACTTTGATGTAAGGAAGAAAATTAAAACTTTAATCGACCTCTTCTGGGTACCAGTAGCAGTTTCAGCACAATAAGACAACGATACATTTAAAAATATTCGACTTTAGCCCCGGGTTGTCTAATTGTGCCAATAGTCCAAATCACTTATGGTTAAAGCAAATATGTTCACAACTTTACAAAAACCGAAATAAGTAAAATTAATAAAATTAATGGGGTATTCATGTTACGAATTATAGTAATATTCATTCCGATACTCCAAACTTTCCCCAAAACTAATATACAACTGTATAGTAATATTAAAAAGGACAAAACTAGTAATCAAAAACTATAACCCTAGTATAGTTTTATGAGGCCCTAGTACAGTTACAAACTCACCGAAGATCGACTTGAAGTGGGAGTGTTATTATACTTCTGCGTTTCATCCTCTGAGTGAGGTAACCGGAACCCACTTTATTAAAAAGTGGCAACGCATCTGCAACACTACAGCTGCTGCAAATGTCCATGGACGGCTGTTATCACTTAACATCAGGTAAACCGCAAGCTCGCTTGCCACGTTCTCACATAAAAAAGGGCGTAGTACTTCCCCGGACGGACCTGCCCATTCGTGCAACAGCGAAGACTGTTGCAGGGCCCTACCACAGTTAACCGACTGGGAAATAAAGAAATCTTAGAATCCAGAACTTAAAATAGAAGAGAAATACAACTTAAAATCGGGGTCGGCACATGACCGTTCCTTCCACCTTCTTCCATTAGCCCTCATCTCAATACTCATCACTTTCACATACATATCTTTCATCATCCAAATCTTTCTCGTTCTTCCTCTAGCTTCACACACTCCAATCGCATTTATCGCTCTTCTAATGGCTTCCACCCAATTAATGTCGCAAAACTTAAAATCGAAATGATAGTAACAAAAGAAAAATAAAATAAAAGCGTCCATACAGTCATGACTTCCACACCCTCTAAACCCCACACCGCAAAACTTAAAGTCGAAATAATAATAATAATAATAATGTATCTATATTATTTTTATTTTTATTTATAAACCCAACCAGACGAGAAAACAAATGAATATCCCCCCCCATAATAATAACACTAAAAAAATAAAAATAAAAAAATAAAAAAGCGCCCATACAGTTGAAACACTGACTTGGTGTCGTCGACCACGTCCACCTCGTGGTGCGGCTGCGTGATGGGCGTGTTGCTGTGGCCCGCCGTAGGGTCATCGGCACCAAGCTCGCCGTTCGTCGAGCTCACCACCTGTTCACGGGCGTCGACGACGACGCGGTACATATTTTTACCAACGTAAAACAGAACCGACCTCAAACATCTCGCTCTGTATTCATTTCACAATTGATCTTCACGAGTTCCGTGAGTACCTCCGGAGCCCAAGGTCCAGAACAATGAAATTGATGTGGGACCACATGGGAAGCGCCAGCTTTCAAATGAAAAAAGAATCATTCAAAATCGGTTCACTCGAAAATGAAAAAAGAATCATCTAATCGGTCGAAAGTACTGGTCGAAAGGTCGGTAACAAACATAAAAAATACAGTCGAATTGAGAACTTTTGAAGAAGAACTTTTGAAGTCGGTTGAAAAACAAACTCATTCGCCGATTGACGGTCAAATGAAACCGTTTTACGCGTTGACATTGTGTACAAATACGAGGTAGATGTGACGCTAACGCACCGAAACTGAGTCACTCAAATTAGACCAACTGGTGGAGTTACATAGTAACTCTATAGACTGCCATATCTTTCCGTATCATACGTTCTATATCGTCTGTCACATTAACTTATTTATATATGACATTAATGTAAAACGGAACAATTTTTAAACGCCGCGCGGTATGGGCATGCGTCATCCTTATTAAAACTTCATCGATTTTACAGTATTATCGTAAAAAAAATGTAATTAAGTACGCTCAGGTTTTCTGATTAAGTTGACCAGTCATTTATTTGATGGCCGGTTAATTTTTTTTTAAATTGCTTCTCTGTAGATTAGTGAACGACTTTTTCAAGTCCACCAGAATAGGCAAAGAACGAGAGAACACCAAATTGACAACGAAAAAAGAAACAATTGAAGATTTCGACATTTCCTCATACAATATCAGTTTCAACAATTATGACATCATATAATTTTATCATATAATACACTTTAATAATATGGAATTGTAGTGACATTATGTAACTTATGTATGTATACTGTTATCAAAACTCCCATGACAATGCTTTAGAGGTGCCATATTCATAATTATATTATGATTAATAAAATAGATAACTGTAACATCTTTTAAATAGTTAAAAGATCAATTATTATAGAAATTACGTTATGTTTTGTTATAGTAATGTACCGTGAATGATGATTAAAATAAATATATTTCTTGTAAATATTACTCAATAGGATTTACACACGCGTGCAATTTCTTTAATCAGTGACCCCAAAAAAAAGCTTACGATCACACAGAACACAGATGCACAAGGCACAAGGCATAACGCTCAACGCACAAACACAAGCGCAAGACTCGCATATAGATAAGCATATATTTTGTTATTAAAAATTACTGTTGACGACAACATCCCTTAAAAATCACATTAAATAATCGACCAAACTGAAATAAAATTGTTTATTTTATTTCAGTTTGGTCGTACGTATATATAAAAACGGATTACGTCAACAGTTATATTTATGTTGAACAAACTTCCAAATCAATCTTTTGTCGATAAATATGATATAATCTGTAAGTACGTATAACATGTAAGTAGATGTAATTACGTTCGAAAGGATTTTTGGACATATTTTATTTTTTATCATGTTTAAATGTTATTCCTAAACTAAGCAAAGCTTTTACTTTGGATAATATACAGCGTGTCTTTACAGTCGCGACAATAAATGAACACGCATATAGAGAATAACTTTTTAAAATTGTATTAAAATTTATATATTTATTTTAGAACATCCTTAAGTATAAAACTGTAACGTAAAGTTCATTTGTAAAGGTCACAAATCATATGAATGGGTTGAATAAATTTAAAAGAGATAAAACATACTGTTAGAAGAAACATACTGTCAGTTGTAATTGTATAGGATGTTACAAATTTTGTTTATTTTTTACTTAATTAGTTTGTTTGAAAAATATTTTTTTTAATTATGTATTTTTAACGTTAATATTTTTATGATTATTGGTAAGTAGCGTTAAAGGTGTGTTCATTTATAGTCGCCGTTGTAACGACACGCTATATAAATAAAAATATTTAAATATACTTTTCTTTTGTAAATAAATACATCTTATAGACATGAATTATAAAATATTAAAAAATAAAAACAACCAGAACCTAGAAATATACTATGTTCATAACATAATATTTTTGCTTTTGTAGGGATGAAACCCACACTCAGGCGTAGTTTTCACTATACTCTGCGACAATCAGATTGTCAATATGTACATTAGACTTAATCTTGGCGGATTTTAATGAAACTTTTTAGAAGTTTGTTTCGGATGAATTCACTTTGTATTTTAACTATAGAGGTTCAAATTTTTATCATAATATCAGCCAAACATTTTGCTACATGTGACTAAAAGGCAAGGCATGTAAACATTTTTGCTAACAATTTGATCCGCCAAAGTTTCTAAAGGGAAAATTTTATAAAACAGTGTTAGATATTTTACTATTTTATTAAGAAAAATGCTATAACGAAAATTTTCCAGAACAAAAGTAGAAACAAACCGACACATAACGTCAAGTAAAAACATCTAGGACACAGATGTTAGCAGATATACGATAAGTGATGAGGGCACACTTGTGTCAATAGACATGGAAATGATGATGTAAAATGGAAGAAAATGACAAAGACAGTAATTATGGCGATAACAATACCACGCTAACGGTATACGTCCACTTTTCAAATTTAAATGAGACAGGTAATCAACTCATCACCATTTGCACAGTACACGGTGATGAGAATCTCGTGTGTGACATCGTGACATTCCAGAGACTATACTGCTCATGCTTCACATACTTCAATTAAATTGAGTGATACTGTGAATCGTGCTCTTATCACGTGCTCCGCGGTGAAGGAAAACATCGTGAGGAAACCTGCATATTTTCGAAATAATAACAAAAAAAATATATTTCGAAAATATGTGAAGTCCGCCAATCCGCAGTGGGGCCGCGTGGTGGACTATGCCCTGATACCCTCTGTTTAGAGGAGGCCTTTGCCCAGCAGTGGGACATGGCTGTTAAAAAAAAATACTGTGAATAAATGAGCACCGTATGAGAATGAAGAATGAAATGGCAAAAATAATTCGGTCAAATGAAATGAAAGTGAATGAGGCACCCCACTCTTGTATTTATTTATTTGTGTGTTTGAATGAATTTTTCTACACGAACTATGGCGCAATTAAAATCTTATGTGCAAATATTAATGGCATACTCAAACACCGTATGAACCATTGCATGGAATCTAACTTGATACAGTGTTTTCTCATGGAGAAACTTTTCGAAGAATCTCTACTGTGACGCATTAAGTCATTCTTGAGAAACGATAGCCATGAAAGTTGGTATCGTACGTGTAGCATGGACGCAGTACAAGGTAAGTCACAAAATAGGGTTATCCGAGGAAAATGAAAGTCGATTATAACGATGGCTGAATCGAGCCGACTGAGAATCTCATTAGGCAAGAGGCAGTGCAAAGCGATACAATGCCATGGGCAGATTGGGCCAAGCGTCATGCAGACAGACACACAAAGGATTGCCGCAAAATGTTCACAACTGACCGTTGACACGGATCCGGGAAATTTCACATACCGAAAATGCTTATTCTTCAATAGCTAAAAAAATAAATACACCAAATATACATTTACTGACAGATACAGGTTTCGTTGCGGGGGTGGGGGGCGGAAGAAAAAATAATATAAAAAAAGTCTAAATTCAGTGAAACATGCAGGGAGCACATTACTTTAACAAACAAAAATTTAACGTTATGTTTCTAGTGTTTAACAAAATGTTCACAGTTGATAGAAAGGGCATAACAACAGATGGATAAACTTCGATCCAAGAAGAAATTTACCAAACTGTCGATTGCAAGAAACAGTTTGTAGTGTTAATATAATTATCGATTACGGAAGACATTTATTTTCTTAATTTCTATCTCAAACGACGTTGCTATGCGAGAGACATAAGAGAAAGTGATCACAGGAACATCGATTTCGACATATAGAAAATAAATATCGATTTTTTTGATCTTTCTCAACCGTCACTCTTGTCAACTGAATTTTTCCTGCTCTAAAATAACTAAATTACAAAGGAATTTCGTAAGTCGACCCATTATAGCTCTGTTGCTCCCGTGTAACGGCAATATCGATGGCTCCTAAGTAGACTAGCGTAAATTGAAAAAGCCAGCTTTTTAGGAGAGCAGTTTAAGCATTCCCAAAAATTTCGATATCAAAATTTTCAGAAAGGTTTAAAATCAGAAACAAGAAGCAAAATATCGTTAAACTGCTCTCCTATAAAGTTGATTTTTTCTACATACTATGGTTAATGTTTGTGCCAGAGTAACAGAGATAGGTCTACATTTTTAAAGGCTGCAAGCCTATGTGTTTTGCATGTCCACGGGCGGCGGTATAACACTTAGCATCAGTGAACGACGGATGCCAACTAAGGATTTTTTTTCTTAAATATAGGAAGAAAAATTTATAATGTTATTTAGGAGGTCAATTCAAAGCAAAACTTCCTAAACGTTTCTCATTTAGGAAGTGTTCGTTCAAATTCAGTGAATTTAGTGGGTTTTTGGATTGTTTTACGAATATATTTTAACAGTTGGCAACACTGCACATTGAAAAAACAAGCTTTTCCCACTTAGCGAGCGGACTACGGTTGGCAGCACTGCAGTGAACCGCTTGCTCGCTTGACATTTATTGCACATTAAAAAAATCTCTTCCCGTACCAAGAGCGGACGTACCGCTTACATCAGATTACCGCGCCATACCTGAACTGATCCGTGCCGGTCGGCCGGCGTAAGGTGACCCGCCGTTAGGGGCGTCGCCTTGCCGCTGTGGGGCCAGTTGCCGCCGGTGTTCGCTGTACCGCCGGTGCCGGTGTCCTTCACCGCCCCCTGCAAAGCGACGGACCGACGGGATCCCAAATCACAAACGAATCGCGGACCCTGTCTGGGCTCTGGATATGGTCGCGAAACTACGCGTAAAATTGCAAAATGGAAAAATCTCGAAGGACGATTTGAGGATCGAACTGGAAACCGATTAGATGTAACCGAAATCAAGGCAGAAAAATTGGAAGGGACAATTTGGAACGAGTTTCGGTGACTTTTTCATTTAACTTCTTAATTCGATAATTATATACTCCTTTTGAAAGTTGCAATAATATTTTAATATGATATCTAGAATCATTTTCGGTTTCATTATCATATTTATGATAACGCCTTAATAATTGAGTTTAGGAGTTCATGCATTAGGGATGCATGAACTCCTAAAACAATAAAAAACAACTTTATTTTTTTTAATATCGCGATTAATATTTAAATCTGGGCCAATAGATCAAAAGTTTACTCTCATAGAGCATTATGCGTGACGAAAACGTAAGACATACACTCAAAGCATTGTTGTAAAAAACACGTAACACTCAAAGGAAAACACAAACAAACAAAAAAAAAAACACTAACTACAAAATATAATGTAAAAAGAATCTGTGAGAGTGAAATGTCGTATGTAACACTTGGTTCGTCTCAGTATATGAAAATACAACTAAAACACCAAGCACTATCCAAAGATAAACCATTTAATGATAATACTCGTACACCCACAAATTGACAAACAAGTTAACGAGATCAACTAGCGATGCTCGGAAAATATCTTAGTGATCACAAAATAACTGTTAGCTTCACTCGTAAACGGAATGGACCAATTTCAAGATCATTATAACTCGATTTAGAATTCATTGAGTGTATGAATGAATGAATGAAATATAGTTTATAGTACACTACAACTGTTATCGGCACAATAACAGTTGTAGTGTACTATTAATTATATTTGGTACAATAATCAACAAAAAAGAATAAAAATCGGCCTTATTGCTAAAAAGCCATTTTTTCCAGTCAACCTAGGCTTTAGTAGGTTGGCCAAACTTTACAACTACGGTTTGTTTAATTAAAAATGAAAAACAAACTTTGATAGGAGCTTAACACTGAACTCTTTGAACTTTATAATAAAATTCTTAATAAACATGAACAAAAAGAAGACGTTAATTCAAACAATTAGTCGTCATAAATTGTGTCGTACAAATTTGATGAAATCAATGATTTTATCGTTATTTTTTTATTTCATGACGTAAAAATATTCTGCATAACGTCAACATCACGTCTAAGCAATTTACCTATTCATGAAAAGATATCTGATAGAGAGATTTTAAAATAGTGCAACATTTCTAATTTTTAAATATTATTTCAAACATTTTAAATATTTTTATATATAATTTCAGTATGGACCTAATACTTATTTTATATATATATATTTTTATTGTTATTTGGCCAGCGCTTGTCTGCCATCCCACCTGATGGAAAGTGGCGATGTAGCCGTTGATGTTGAGTAAGCTCTAGCTCAGGGAAAACCGTTAAATTTTGTCGCCGATTTTAAACTCAAACTTTTATTTAATTTGTACTTTTTAATGAAAGAAATAAGTTAATATTCATATTTTAATGATAATTTTATTCCATTCACATATAAAAATAGTCATCATCATCATCATATCAGCCGTAGGACGTCCACTGCTGAACATAGGCCTCCCCCATTGACTTCCACTTCGACCGGTCGTTAGCGGCTTGCATCCAACGCGTCCCTGCGATCTTGGCTAGGTCGTCCGTCCACCTTGTGGGAGGCCTTCCTACGCTGCGTTTGCCGTCACGTGGTCTCCACTCGAGAACCTTTTTGCCCCAACGGCCATCGGTTCTTCGAGCTATGTGCCCTGCCCACTGCCACTTCAGCCTGCTGACTCGCTCTGCTATGTCGGTAACTCTAGTTCTTCTACGGATCTCCTCATTTCTGATTCGATCTCGTAGAGAAACCCCAAGCATTACCCTTTCCATAGCGCGCTGTGCGACCGCGAGCTTCCTTATGAGGCCCATAGTGAGAGACCACGTCTCGGCACCGTAGGTCATCGCTGGTAGCACGCACTGGTTAAAGACTTTCGTCTTTAAGGACTGTGGTATTTTGGACGTAAAGACGCTGCGCAATTTCCCGAACGCAGCCCAGCCGAGCTGGATTCGTCGATTGACCTCCTTCTCGAAGTTGGATTTGCCTTGTTGGACCATTTGTCCCAGATAGACGTAGCTATCAACAACTTCGAGTGGCGAGCCTCCCAAAAATACGGGGGTGGGCGTCACATGGACATTTGACATGACTTTGGTCTTTTCCATGTTCATTTTCAGGCCCACCCGCTGGGATACTCTATTGAGGTCTTCGAGCATTGTGCTGAGCTCCTCCAAAGACTTTGCCATGACTACGATGTCATCGGCAAACCGAAGGTGAGTGCTGTATTCGCCGTTGATATTGATGCCACATCCTTTCCAATCCAGGAGCTTGAAGGCGTCTTCCATTGCATTGGTAAAGAGTTTCGGAGAGATAACATCTCCTTGCCTCACTCCCCTCTGCAACGGAATAGCCTTTGTGCTCTGATCCTGTACTCGGACCGACATGGTGGCGTTTTTATACAAGCACTTCAACACTTCGATGTACCGATAGTCAATTTGGCACCTTTGAAGAGACTGCAGCACTGCCCAAGTCTCGATCGAATCGAAGGCTTTCTCATAGTCCATAAACGCTAAGCATAGTGGCAAATTATACTCCTCAGTCTTCTGTATAATTTGCCGCAGCGTATGAATGTGGTCTATGGTACTATAGCCTTTACGGAAACCGGCTTGTTCGGGAGGCTGGAAGTCATCAAACCTGCGTGCGAGACGATTCGTGATCACCCTCGAAAACAGCTTATAAACATGGCTCAGAAGCGAGATGGGCCTGTAGTTCTTTAGCAAGGTTTTGTCACCTTTCTTGAAGAAGAGGACCACCATGCTTCCGTTCCATGTTCTGGGCGTAGTACCCTCGGACAGGACGGAATTGAAGAGCTTCTGAAGGACTTTCAGTACCGGTGTTCCACCCGCTTTCAGAAGCTCTGATGTAATTCCGTCCTCACCCGCCGCCTTGTTTTCTTAAGCTGCTTGAGGGCCATCCTGATCTCGAACAGGCTGATGTCCGGGATATCTTCTGTATAGTGTCGAGTTAGTTTGGCTCTTGGATCTTTAACCAAATCGTCAACAGGCTTGGCTCTTGAGGTATATAACTGTCCGTAGAACCTTTCGATCTCTCTCAGTACCTCTGACTTAGTAGATGCTACACTGCCGTCTTCCGTCTTTAGCTTCGTCAACTGGCTCTGCCCAATAGAAAAGTCTCTTGCGAACACTTTGGAGCCCTTATTCTGCTCTATCGTATCTTTAATACGATTAGTATTAAATTTACGGATATCGTGTCGCAAGGACTGATAAATCCGTCTATTGAGCTGCCGATATGCTTCAGCGTCCTCGGAAGTCTGCAGCGTCATTGAGCGTCTCTCCGCCATAAGGTCGATGGTATGATCTGATAATTTTTGAGGTCTATCTTTCCGGCGGGGTCTAAAGAAAGCTTTCCCTACCTCGTGGACAGTTTCTACCAGCCTGTTGTTGACCTCGTCCACAGAAACGCAATCCTCCAGGATGGAGAAGCGATTTGTGAGCTCGAGTTGAAAGCTCTCGGGGTTTTGTATGTGGGCTGCAGTGGGTCGGAGCGTGGACTTTATTAAGCGAGACCTTTCTAGGTGGACATTAATACTCAATGTGCCTCTAACCATTCTGTGATCACTCCCAGTTTTCACCCTGTGTATCACGGAGACATCATTAAATATCCGTCTCTTTGTCGACAAAATGAAGTCAATCTCATTTTTTGTGCAGCCGTCGGGACTCATCCAAGTCCATTTCCTATGAAGCTGCTTCTTGAAGAAGGAGTTCATCATGAAGAGTTCCTCCTTCTCCAGAAAGTCAGCCAACTTCTGGCCCCTTGGATTTCTGCTTCCATATCCAAATTTCCCCACTCTCAACTCATCATCGCCTCTCCTGCCTAGTTTCGCGTTAAAATCCCCCATGACAACAGTAAAGTATGTTTTGGAAGTATGTATGGCCCTACTGATGTCCTCATACATAGCTTCCACTTCATCGTCCGGGTGCGCCGAGGTCGGTGCGTAGACCTGTATGACCTTCAACGAGTACCTCTTCGATACTCTGAGTATAAGGAACGCCACCCTGCTCGACACACTCGTGATACATACCACGTTGTTAACGAGGGACCTGTGAACGAGGAACCCGACACCACCCTGGGACTGCTGGTCGCCCTCCCGGTGGTAGAATAAGCTGCCAGACTTTAAGGTCATCGTGTCCTCACCCTCTCTTCGGTCCGCGTTGCAGCCGGAGCCCCCGGGCACTAGGGGCCGTGCTACTTTGTCCACCATCATATGGGGGGTACGGACCATAACCCGCCGCGCTGGTCCAGTGCGTGTTGGCGGGTTGCCAGAGCCTCTTTCGTTGATCAGCAGAGTGCACCGCGGGCAGGCGAGGTTGGCTTGGGTCCCGAGAGATGTTGGTTGGGACCCCTTGCACTCCTATATATAAAAATATAAAAATAGTACTTAATTTAAAAGTACTGGAATTTATAGAGTTAAAATCCGTAAAATAAATCAACTTTATCTTAACGTCGATACTCTTATGAATGATCCAATAAAAGTCAGTTTGACGAGGGTGATATACAAGGTTCAAGCACATTTAAAGACGGATGAAGTGACGTTAAATGGCGGGAAATCAGAAGGCTAATGGGAGTAACTAACTTTGGTAAACTGAAGACAGAAAATAATAATAACAAATCAAACCTCTACGCATATGAGGGCCGCCTCATCGTCCTCAACCAAACCAATCATATAATCACACAATTCATCCTGCACCGACAAAAACAAAGTGTGAGAGTGTGAGATCCCTGAAGGGCATAGGGCAGCGAAATTTTATTAAAAGTGAGAGACTACAAAAAATATATTAATTTATCCCCCCCAAAGCTGATTAACAAAATTTGCATTTTCCCCAATAATAATCTACTACCTATTTACAACCAAAAAGATGAAAAGAATGTGAAAGCAAATTAAAAGCAATGTTTAGTCCGTTTTTTATACTGCTCTTTAAGGCAAACAAACAAGGCGCGCGGGCTGTCAGTCAAAGACAATTTGACGCGACTAGTAAAAGTATAAATTAAGAATATACCTGTACACCTATATAATTTTATTTTCTTGTTTTAATAAAATCATTAATCCATTGTCTGCATTTCGTTTAAAAATATCATTCGATTACGAAACACGTTAAAAGGAATTTTGGGATGGGTGTTACTAAAACGTTTCATTTTCTTTTCTATTCATTACTCCACAAATACCAATTTCAATGATAGCTTCTCTCTCTATACTTGTCTCTTTTACGTATTGATCACAATAATATTTTTGTCACGACCACATTAATGTATGGTCCGACCAAGGTATAATGCGACGCCTCTAAGCAAATAATGTGCTTACTGGATCAAATATTCATTTACTTAACAGCAAATAACTGACCTTATGAAAAGGCTGGTGTCGGTCTCGATTGGGCGAGACCACAATCTCGTGGCCGGTCTGAATGGAGCCCACCGGTGTAGACTGGAAATACAGAAACATTCGATTAGGTTAAAAAGTTGAGATCTAAAAGGCTAAACTAAATATACAAGCTAACATTATATAAGACTATATAGATACATAAAAGAAATCGATAGAAAAAATTCTGTATCTATCTAATACTAAATACTTTTATTTTAAAACACGGCATAAAAAAAACTAAGTTTCATTTCAAAATTTACAAATGTTTTTAATTTAAAATAATTATATTTTATAACCTCCTTTGACTTACTGCATCATATTTAATTAAAAAACGATAACGACAGTTCAGGGGTAGATATGCTTACTACGCAAATTACAATGGCTCTATGTTATGTGTTCATTTAATCCTTTAAATACAATACCATCGCTACTAACCTTATCCGACTTATTTCTAACAATATTAGACGGCGGTGCGTTGCGTAAAATTCTCATCACATGCATATTGGCGGGCTGACGTCGGAACAAAAGCGGTAAGCATGCGGCATGCAACACCCAACAATGTTAACAAAACATAATTTTTAAATAAATATTAAAAATCAATCGAAAACAAATTATAGGACGGCAACCAATAATTGAAGCAAATTTGTTGCTGTCATATTCAAAGCTGATAGTTTCAGTATAAGGAATTCTCAAAAAAATTAAGTTATCTCCAATGTAGAGTATTACAAGAAGCTATTTACACAGAAACACAAATAGTAATGGGATAAAGTTTATTTTTGAAACAATATTATACTATATAAAATATATACTACTTGTATCGGAAAAACATGGTGAATGTTATTTAAAATTTCACTGGTATTGGTAAGATTTAAAAATAACTAATCCAATATCGTAAGCTCATACTTTAAGATAAAACTATTGTAATATTAATAATATTGGACATGTACAAAATATTTTCACTATTAATTTGTTTTGGCGAGGCAAAGTGAAAGTCAATGAAAATATACAATAAGAAAAGAACCATTCTTTGTTGATAATGTAATCAAGTAAAAAAAGGTTTTTCATGAACATGATGACGTTTTTAGTACATATATCATTGGTTAGGAAATTTATCATGTTTCAACACATTGCATGAACATTTTAATGAAAGTTTTATCTAATGAGTTTTATGCATTTAACGTTCTAACATTTAAATGCGCAGCCCATTGCACTAAATCAAAGAATGACTGGTTTAAGGTATTTTTTTGAATTCATCTACAATTATGTTTTAAGAAATACATTGGTCAAATATTTTTATTGGCTAGTGATTGTTGAAAGCGAGTGGATGTGTTATTGTTACTGAAATAGCATGAGATATGGCACTCAAGCGAATGTTTGGCTAGCAAATACAGATCAGAACAAAACATAGTATTAATACAGTTAGTGGTAAATTTAATGGAAAACACCCCAACCCAAATTTATCCATTACAGTTTTATTTTAGATACACAATAGCATAGTGTACACAATTAAGCATTTACATTGCAATTTTGGAGGATAATTTATGGAAAGAATATATTTTACTAATAAAAAAATTTGAATTTCCAAAATAGTAGTTCTATTAACAGAAAGCTTAGCCTTATTCAAAAATATAAAATATTTAAGCTAAAAATAGTTATGTACAAGAATTACAGATTACATAGTACTTGTTATTTATGGTTTACATTAATTTCCCATAACATTTAAAAAGGTTCATGGAACAGTTTACATGATAGAATTGGAAAAATAGTTAAAAAATAAAAAGTATGTGGTAGGAAATAACAATAAAAATGTTTAAGGACAACTTCATACTTTACATTACCTTATTCATATAAAAATTATCAAGGATGAGAAAGAAAAGATTACAAAAATAATGAAATATAGCGCATGTCAAATTATGCCAACTAAAACAAATCTTTAATCCCTCCAAACATCACTAGTCTCTTTCGTTTCTCATTTAACGGTATAAACAAACTCATGTCGACGATGTTAACGAGAAATGATTAATGAGCACTGGCAGTATACGAACGAGACGGTAATGCGAAGAAAAAAAAAAGCATTATGAAGAAAAAGAAATCAAAAATGGAACGACGGGTGGGCGCGTCATGCTTGCAGTCGGGATTCGAGAGAGTGGGCGTTGGATGGGCGAAAGCATAAGACGAGACGATAAGCGTAATGGGGAGAAAAGAAAAAAAAAACGTTATGAAGAAAATAAAATCAAAACTGGAATGACGGGTTGGTGTGCGACATGCACGTAGCAGGGATTGGAGAGTGTGCGGGAGAATGAACGAGACAAGAGACGGTGAGGACAATGGGGAGAAAAGAAAAAAGTATCATGAATAAAAAAAAAATCAAAAATGGAGCGAAGTGTGGGCGCGTCATGCGTGCAGCAGTGATTGTGGTAGAATACACGAGACGAAAGACGGGGAGGGTAATGGGAAGAAAAGAAAGAAAAATGTGTTATGGGAAAAAAATCAAAAACGGAACATAGGGTGGGCGGCGCGACAAGCATATAGCGGGGTTTGGCTAGTCTAGCTAGCAGGTATTGAAGAGTGGGGGCTGTGTGGTGGAATGCACGAGACGTGAGACGGGGGGAGGGGGGGAGGGTGTTTGCTCTAGGCGGTGCTGTTTACCATCGTCTTGCCGGTCCAGTCGAACTCGCCGTCGTCCACGTATCCGCGCCGCTCGAACAGGTCGCGGAACATCCGCCTCAGCTGGTCGTAGTCGGGCGTCTCGAAGAAGTCGAGCCGGCGCACGTAGCGGAGGTACGTCGCCAGCTCCTCGGGGTGGCCCTCGCATAGCACCTGCGGGTAGGGGGGGGCGGGGTGGTATATTATATAGGTATATCCGTGCCCACTAAAGCCAGCTTGGCGGTGAGCTTCAGTGCGAAATAAGGAATGAATGAATGAATGAATGAATAAACTTTATTGCACACCAAAAATAAAACAAACAAAAATTAAAACTTAACCAGGGTCAAGGAATGCACCGATGACCCTTTGTATATCTTAGCAAGTCGCAGTTAACTATGACTTAGAGTAAGTTGTCGTCGCCCCGCTGTTGCACGAATGGGCAGACTCGACTGGAGAAGTACCACGATCTTACAGCAGACCGACGTGAAATAGGAGTTATACTCTTGGGTTACATCTGTTCAGTGAGGATACTGAGGGTCAGTTTTTTAAAGATACAAAACGCAATCACTTCCTTTAGAGGCCTTATGCGGCTTAGTAGACATCGACTTCAATATTACAAATAAATCATATTGACGTGCAAGGTAAACCATCGATCCTGTTACTAATATCCACGAATAAAGTTTTATTTAATAAGCGTCATATTTGACAGTCCTGTTCAGTTAAGATTTTTCGGAAAACTTAGTTATGTTCGATACCATATAACATAACACTCGCGAAACTATGACGAATAATATTTTAGACGAACATTTCAAAAGAAGTATTCATTCATCGCTAATATTTGCTAAGTATTCAATTCACTATTCACTTATTAGTATCCAAATATTGCTAACGTCTTCATTGGTGTAAAGTATTTGAAAATTAAAATACCATAGACATTTTTATTACAAGCATAGACAAATTTAAGAGAAATCTGTCTACTAACAATATTTTAATTTAAACAATGTGAACTTCCTCTTCGCCTCCAATATTTTTATTTTTGTTAAAAAATACTACATTTTTTTATTTATTGATATATTAATTTCAGTTAGAAATGTACAAGCCATTCTAATATTTTTTTAGCATTCGTTTTTTACATAGTCTATGTAACTTATACTTGTTATATAAGTTTTATCTATTATGTTTCGATGAATATCTTGCTGGTGAAGTAAATAAGTAAATTAATAAATAAGGTGTATTAAAACATGTAGAAAAAGTAAAAAAGATTGTCGCCAAGCATTGCTTCAAATGCTAAATAACAATGTAGGTAGAAGGCGTTAAGATTTTTATCGGTGTGGCAATCAGCCGTTTAGCTCAATGGCTAGAGTGTCAGGCCGCAAATGCCGACGTCTTCGGGTTCGATTCCCACAGCGGCGACAATCTTTTCGTACTTTTTCTACATGTTTTAATGTTCAATCTTAAGTGCAGAGATTAGCACTATAAAAAACATTAAAATTTAAGTAAGGTGTCATCATTATCTACCTACGCCCAAGTTGAGAGTCATCAACAAAACTTTCATTATAGTGATAATACACTATACTTTTATCCCACGGCCACTTACATACGCCTATTGTTGCAAACTACGAAGCCGACGAAACATTGTCTTGCGTTAAATTACCATGCTCTGTCACTCGAACTTTTTTATGATGCCAACTTACAAGTAACCAAACCCTTAGTTATACCGTAAACGAATTATAAAACATGTAAAATATACAGTTACAAGGATGATAGATTAATTTTTAAATATTTAATGTAATTCTTCGTAAATCAATATCACTTTTACACGGAATATCACGAGTGTATTTAAAAATGAATCCTATGGTTTTTAAAGATTTACGGAATCGAATTTCGAACAAGTTTCAAATTTCGCAACAGACAAAACTCGATTAACATAAAATAGTATGTAATTTTATTTCTCTTCATTTTTAAAAAGCGTTTAATTTCAACAGATATGCCACCTTAATCGTGTTGGCAATATTAGAAAAAAAAATTCAAAGAATCAACAAACATTTTTAAACCGCTTCTGAGTCTTAATGCTAAGTTAACAATCTTATAAAGTATAAAGAATCCTGGCAGAATTAGATATTGGATTTGTAAGGACATTATTACATAATCCAGTCTCGGAAAACATTTATGTATTAAATTAGAAAGATCTCTTCTGTCCGGTTCCGGTATACATCTAGACTTGTATTGCAGTTTGTATAATTCTGAGATTGCACTTGTCCCGTCGAAATGTTAATTTTGGAATTCACTCATTATTCGAGTCACTTGAGAGGGGACTCAGTGTCAAGTTGGTGTCTAATGCAACGCACGTGATGTACTCACCTCGATTGGTGTCGCCCGTTTGGTGTCGCCGATTTTTTGGTATCGCTCTTTAAGTGTGTCGGCCTTTAAGCCCTGCCAGGGTAAAGAGCCGCGTAAAAAATACATAAACATATGCCCGAGCGCCTCCAGGTCGTCGCGTCTGGATTGTTCTGGAAAGTGGAGCGATATAGCACTCTGTTAACACGTCGAAAACAACAAACAAACAAGTAGTATGGGGAATTATTTTCACTGTAGCATTCGCAGCAACTTCTGCTGTTGAAATGGACTGGTAATTGGTACCGACGTAAATATTTCGATTGTTTCGTGAGTGAGATAAATACATAAATAAATATTTTTAGAACACATTTTTACACAACTTTCTCGGTCTCAAACTGAGCTACGCTTGTACGATGGGTACTAGATAACTGATAATCATATTTTTCTTTTGTGAATAAATACATATTATACCTACAAGTATAAAAACACCCAGACACTAGAGAAACGCTGTGTTCATCACACAATATTTTTCCAGTAGTGGGAATCGAAACCACACCCTCTGGCGCAGGAGGCAGGTACACTACGCACTACGTCAACTTGGGTTTATTCTTTCGCGTATGTTTTTACATATGATTTGTTCTTTCGCGTACGTTTTAAATATCCATCGGTGGTTCAATCACTTAGCACAGCTCGAAACGACTGTTATCTTACAACCGCCCCACATCAAAAACAATAGAAGCCGGCTCGATTTGTGCGATGATAATGTTAATGGGCTTTGTGTGATTCGCGAATTGTCACTAATTCCGTTGTTAATGCATACGATACACTTCTGCCTAACCGAAGCTTACTCACTGCATCTATGTGGCTCTAAAGATTTCCTCGCCCTTATTCAATTTTTCATATTTAAATTAAAATATGTACTAGCAGGATTCGAACCTGGGTTATAAGGGTACGGAAAACAAGCCCCTGCGTTCTTACCACTAAGCTAGGCGGACAATATCACCACGGAGAAATCTCAACGTCCTATCTATTATACATCACTCATGTTAAGAATAATCTAGAAGTACGCATTTCGCCTCAGGAGATTCACGGAACGATATTCCTTGTAACTACAATGAAGACTGACTACGATTGGTTGAAACATTTTTTTATTCGTCTCCACATGTTAGCCGAGAGCTGGAAAAAGATGTGTGGAAATTACTCTTGCTCTGAACTTGCAAGTCCCCTGACTGCTGCAGATTTTATACTTAACAAATTTGTATATATAATTTAAAGGAGAAAAGGATAACAGCATGTTATAATAATATAACGGCATAACTGCAGAGTTTCTTGCCGGTTGTTCATTTGACAGATCTAAATTTGTGTACCGGTATTACTTGTCTTTGACCTTCGATAAAAACCTAAACAAGCCTTTTAATAAAGAAATATTGCCGTTGACTTTGAGAAAAAGACTATTTATTCTTTTTATTTGACATAAATAAAATGTATATACACTATGGGAAATGGAGTGAAACCAACGTTACGTTACCTTTTCCTAAATGTGTATTTATTGACATGTATCTCGCGGTGCCGGTGAGCGATTTGTGCTCCCGATATGGGATATGTTTGTTAGTCTCTAAGTCTATGTATTCTTTGGCCAAACCGAAATCTGAAAAGAAACACGTGGATCGATTATAATTCACACCTCTGAACACTTAATTAAAATACAATAAGTAGAGTTGACACTAGAAAACACAACGAGTACTATGTTCGTAAAAACTTTGTTATTGATAAAAATATATTTATTTGGTTATCATGCTTATTAAGTTTTGTACAAAATTCACTCGTTTGTGATTTCTTTAATTTTAACATTAGATTTTGTTTTATTCCCTTACATACTGGTCTAAAATATTCTTTTTTTTTAATTTAAAGTTCTGTGAACGTAGAACTCTGACACTAGTTTATAAGTACCTACATACATACATACAGTCTTCATTATTGACAGAGAGACAAAGGTCATATTATAAATTAAAGGAATATCGACAATGTAGTAAAATGGAACAACAGATGCATATGTTAATTAAAATATGTAGAAAAAGTGCGAAAAGATTGTCGCCGTTGTGGGAATCGAACCCACGTCTTCGGCATTCGCGGCCTGACGCTCTAGCCACTGAGCTAAACGGCTGATTGCCACAACGACGAAAATCTTAACGTATTCTTCTACATTGTTTTCTTAGCATTTGAAGCAATGCTTGGCGCCATCTATTGTTATATCCTTTCCAGCATACAAACAATTTCGAATATCGTTTTACAACGATAATTCGAACGAGAGATGTCGCATGCAGAGAGATGCATATCTTTCCAGTTTTCTCATTGACGTTAGATCCAATATCCTACGTAAATTATAAACGGAATATATATGTACATTTAGATGAATGATTTAAACCTTAAAATATTGCTGAATCTTGTGAATAAAGCTCTGAACTAGCCGTTCGGCGATCAAAGAGAAATTGCGTTACAAATTGTGTAAGAAAGCGATTCGATCACGTCATTTTCGAGGCGACGGATCAAATCGACGCTTCCGTACATGTTGTCACGAATCTCGAATAAAAGTTAGACGTCATCGATAATTCGCTACAATGGTCGGACGACGTTTATAACCAACGGTCGATAAGAAGTCGACAACAACGTAAGATTGAAAAAGTTGATAAATCATTACATGTATTTAGATAACCAAAACTACAAGAATTATAGTATAAAGGATCATAGTATTATATTAATAAAGTGAATGTGAAATTAGAGGCTTTTTAATCATCATTATCACTATAATCCTATTCCTCCTGCCTTATCCCACCGAGGTGATGTCGGCAAGACATGTAAATCATGTTGTAAGCTGTTTTGGATACGTTTTTTACGACCGGCCACCTGCTTGACATCAACCCTCCTTAGGAAACAAACACCCAGATCCGGAATATTTATCTGTAGCACAAATACTACTCCTGGGAATCGAACCCAAAACCTCCGGCGCCGAATCCAAAAGGTTAGCAACTGCGCCAGCGAGTAGTTTGTAACAATATTGTAATTTCCCCATAGAGGAGAGAGAGGAATCGCCTAGTTTGAAAGCCTGATTGAACTGTAATTGTTATTACTTAGTACTGATAGTTGCGATGAATAAATTAAGATAATTTTATATCATTATTATTACGAAATACCTACGAAGCTCCAGCCGAATATTATTACTATAATAATATTAATAAACTATAATTATATAAACTATTATTTTAATAATATGTAATATTACTGACAATATGTTCTATATTATATTACAGTTATTTATTCCCGAATTTGATGAAACTTCAAAATATCAATATTCTAATGTAGATCCGTCAGAACTAATCACGTTTGGGAATGGTTGGTTGTCTAATTATTCATTATTACTCTTATAAATACTAATGAGACATTAATCTATGAAATCCAACAAACTTGTATATATTACACGTTTATTGATGAAAAAAATAGTATAAGGAAATAATGAAGTTTCCAAATGTAAGTCGTAAAAGTATTAAAATATCTCGAGACACGCCTAAAATATAAAATGACCGATGTCTCGGGTAGCCATTGAAGCGTTCTCTTACGAGTTTATAGAAAATTTTTACCATTCAGTGTCACTACTAAAAGAGCGTGATAGCTCAGTGTCCGGGCGCTCGCCTTTAATTGAATATACTCAAGCAACCTGAGTTCGATCCCCGGTGCCGACACCAATGAAATTGTTAATTTTTTTGTACTTGTTTACGTGTTTTTGTTGTTTATTTTGTCACGTGCTCAGCGGTGAAGGAAAACATCTTGAGGAAACCAACATATTTTCGAAGTAATAAAAAAAAAAGATATGTGAAGTCCGCCACCCGCAGTGGGGCCGCGCGTTGGACTATGCCCTGATACCCACTGTACATAGGAGGCCTTTGCCCAGCAGTGGGACATGTATAGGCTGATAATTTATACTTTTACTAAAGAATACAATAAGAACAGTACAACCAAGATATAGTTATGAGATAATACGCGAATCATTCTCAACTATATATTGAATATGACTATTATGAAACGCTAATCTACGCCGTACGAATTATATAGGCTATGAGTACTGTTCCAAAACATCAATACGGTGAGAGCTTCCGGAGTTATTTCAGTTATTCGACAAAGTAAACGAAAACGTAACAACATCCAATTTTCCAACATCGTTAGTCCACAGTCTAGGTAAAATTATCAACTTGTTTAAACTAAATTAACCTCTGATATTTGCTTAGGGTGTGTCATTCGGATTGGCGGTCACCGAACCTATTCATCGAATGACGTAACTAAAATTTAGACCTAACACGCTGTTGGGAGTAGTACTCACAAAAGCTTTAATCCACTTTTACTGGGATATAGATTAGTTTTATTATTTTATATACGCCATACGAATTTACTTTAGTAAGAATTTGAGAGTCTACTTAAAGATTTACAAATACAAGAAAAGAAAATTAGATACGTAAAACCAATGAGAATACGAGAAAGCTTATGATGATCTAAACATTTTGGAGGCATAGCGAATTTTACAAGTCAAAGAAAAAAAAAATAATCGCCATAGTATGAAGTCTAGCGATTCTCTGACATAAAACATCCGTATGCAAAATAAGATTGATCCTTGATTTCGGCCGTTCGCGTTTGACCTTTGCAGAGGAGGAATTGGTTTGATATTCAATGCATGGCGACACTTCCTTACACGGTCAACAATCGCCTCGACTCTTAGTTACATCTCAATATTTAGGATCGTCTTCGCTTAATATTTTTCAACATTTAAACGATATTAAGTTTTATAGTGCTATTAGATTCTCTGCACTTGAATATAAAATTTATAGAAAAATGGACGAAAACTTTTTCGTTCAGTTCAGCGGCTAATGACGCCTGACGGCGCGTAACACGGAGGATGCACGTTCAAAAATGACGGAAAAATTTTCGTTCATTTTTCTATTTTCGTTATAGTTTTTAAATTTTCCCAAAATCAATTTCAACGTCACTTAATAAGAAAAAAGAACACGAAGTTCCCTCATCGTTATGTTTAAATTCGGTGTTGCAAAAAAAATTGTTGGAGGTCAATTCTTAACGCCGACGTTTATGAATTTACGGTCATTGCCGATTGTAATATAAGAGATTCTTGTGACCAGATAAATGGTACTAAGGCAACGTCTTGCGGTTAGAGGTTGATTTAAAAATTGACCAGGATCACGTACACAAGGAATTCTGGACAAAGCTTTATAATTATAGATTAAAAAGCTTTAGAAACTTAAAAAGGATAATGACCGAAGAACATGTTGCGAGCACTTGAAATTGCGCCGATTCCATTACTCTTTAGAGTAAAATTTCACTTCAATCCCGCCGCACTAGCTTTACGTGCGTTCGACCTCGTTCCTATGACACACTTTGCAATTCGAAATATAACAAAGGAGCACGCTGCTTGAAGTCTATTGAATATACGTCTTCCTTTACACTTTAATTTAACAAAACGACATTGTAATCTACATACAGCTCCATAACCGGGCATCGTTTAGAACGACCACGTACAGAAACTGCTCAAAGTATTTCGATATACTTAGATATACCAATAAAATATATTCAACCCGGACTTCTGCTGGGATTAGTTGGAACGAGATTTACGAGAAGAAATCACCAGACCGGTTCGACTGACGTAATTGATCATTTGATTGTTCATTAGGCAAAATACACGAGCGGGTAATTCTGATTCTGGCTTAAAACCATGGCTCTATAGTCATGTATCAACTCTAGTATTCCCTTACTATAATAGCTTCGTAACTTACCAATGATGTGAATGACTTTTTCTCTTTTAGTCGATGCTCTACCTATTAAAAAATTCTCCGGTTTCACGTCTCGATATATGAGGTGTCTTGTGTGGACATACTCGATGCGATGTAACTGTAATGAAGGGAAAACGAAGTTCATACAATAAACCATGATAACAGGTAACCGCGCTTAAAATTAAAAAATATTTTTAATAAACAACTACTAATGTTGTATAAATTCTGATTTAAAACAAATTTCTCTAGTTATTGATACGTATTAAAAAGACAGCATGTAGTTGAAATCAACAAGGCAGTTAGTAAGGTCACGATAAATTAAAAACTAGCAAAACTCCATGTACAGTTACGTTCAGTAAAATAATCCACTTGTAGTTTGGAACGTTTCCATTCGAAAATCTATAACCACAGCCACTCCGGGTTACAAATCGTCCAGAGCGTGCACATTTGAAACGAGTATTTTTATGAGCGCGACTGTACGCGACTACGGGGGCTACTCACCAGCTGCATGGCGATCATTAATACAGTCTTTAGAGAGAAACGTCGGCCGCATAGATCGAAGAGATCCTCGAGCGAGGGGCCGAGCAGTTCCATCACCAGCGCATTGTATTTACCGCACGGCCCGAAGTAGTACACCTCGGGGATACCTTCCGCTGTGGACGGGGCTGCGGGGTCACGGATTGTACGGACAGGGGATTGGAGAGAGACGCGTGGGGGCGACGGGGGAGTGGTTGGGGGGTTGGGGGGTGGACATAACAAATTAGTACTCACATAAGTACGAGCATTGCTCTCGCTTGCACCTGCACGACACAACACAATAGCCGACAAACGATAAACAGAACACAGGCCAAATGCGCGAGAGCATTGCTTCGTAAAACAAAAAGAAAACAATCAATCGTTCCAATTTCGAAATTCGCGATCGTCGATCTGACGACGGTCGCGACTTAACCCGCTTTTGGGGCATCGGACACCATATTGTGTCGGTCTATCGGGCATCGGCTACGGTGTCGCGTCCGTAAAACAATCGCCTAGCTACGCTGTGGTGTGGCACTTACAAGTTGTATTGCGATCAAAAGGACCGTCTTGAGCCGGAACCGCCGGCCGCAATGTACGAATAGATCTTCTAGCGAGGGCCCTAACAACTCCATGACCATGGCGTTGTAGCGGCCGCCACATGTTCCCAAGTAGAACACTTTTGGTATTCCCTCTAAGAGGAGTTTAAAGTCAATATCCCACATGAGAAAGTAACGTATTTGGTGCTTATGAATATCTATATTGGGCGATGTCGTCGCTTTCAATCCTATCTGTAACCACTTCTGTTCAGTCCTTATTAGTAATGTACACAGTAGTGGTTTTCTGTCACAGTGACCGCAAGAGCCATAGTTAACTTGTTAAAATCTAGGCACAATACATGAAACGGTTTTATATATATTCAATAATCTTATAACTTATTTCGATATCCAATATTAAAGTTTACATTCATGTTCAGAAGTGTACGTACACCAATATAAAGGAATGATAAAACGGCTAAGCTCACGTAGAATCGGTGTACGTAACGACTAGTTACGGACCTATCGATCACCAATACAATTACTATTTTAACATATTTATATTTGGTATCCCAATTTACAGACAGTCTTTTAAGTCTAAAACTGATTTGGCTTTGCCATTTGTTACCGTAACGCTTACACAAAATGCTTGAAAAGATGCCTGATTCAGATGTCGATCCCCCACAGTGACGTATTTAGAGTTTTCATTATTAGCATAGAAATGTCACACAAACTGATTGCGTGTTACGTAGCTATGCTAATTGACGTGCTTATAAACAATTACCCGACGGTTAGTGGCCTTTGAGTTGGAATCCAAGTGGAGGATCGAAAGTTACGTGTTTGCGTACAGACGCGTGAATGAACGCAGAACAATTCACGACCTTAAATCCTGGCAATAAAGTGCCAAAGTCGTAATAACTTTTGTACAAACGTTTCAAATATATTGCAGTACTCACCGTGGGTGCCTAGTAACTTGTAAAATCGGTACTCTAGATGAAGTTGCGGAGCCTTGGATTTCATAGGCTCCATCTTAATCGCTACATGCTCATTGTTGTATAGGTTCTTGCCTGCGAACAAAATAAAAACCATGAGTGTAATCGACCGTCCTTGACAGCAACGTTAGCTGAAACGGTGTGAATAGAACAAGATTTACGAGACCAGTTGAGAGCTAAACGGTTCATCTGCACTAATATGACATTTGTTGTCCGGCTATAGTTATGCTAAAAGACTATATGAATGTTTAAAACCAAATCTGAATTGTTCGCGGCCCGATTGACGTAGTGCATAGTGAAAACATTTTAAACATAGCTTTTCGTTTGGTTCCAAAAATTGTTTTATTTACAGAAAAATATAAAAAAGCATCAACATCAGCGGGTTTATTACATCATCTTAAAAATAAAAAAGTATATTTCAAATTAACTAGTATTTTGTGCTCTTTTTCTAAAACTCAGTACAATATGCATAAAATTGTCTAGCATGACAGAAATTTCAACTATACCGATCGTTTCGGGGCATTCACTTAGATCGGAAATAATTATCAATTGGATAGTTTTGAAAAAAAATCGATCGAAAAGCGCAAAGTTGCTAGGTCTGTTGTCTCAACTAAGTTTTCAAATTTTTTAAATGTGTGAATAGTTGGCAAGCGAGACGCAGACGGTTCATCGGATGTTGAATGCATATCGCCGCCCGTGGACAACTACAACACCTAAGGGGTTTCGGTCACCTCAATTACCGGACGAAAGTCATATAAATACTTCCACTTCACGTCGGTCTTCTGTGAGATCGCGGTACTTCCCCGGGCGAGCCTGCCCACACGTGCAACAGCGGAAGCTGCTGCTTGGCGCTACCACAGAGATCAATTGTACAAAGAAAAGCCGTTATGTACAATAAACGACATATGTGGTCAACTGTATTCGGATTGGGGACGATGACTGCACTGTGGTCAACCACGCAGCCGCTCCTGTTGTTGCATAATCGGCCATCGAAGAAACACTCGTCATTCAATATCTGTGTAAAGTAATTACAAGCATTTGTAGACTGTGACAATCACAAAAACGATTGTCCTTCTTGAACCGTTAATCTCGACTGCTATTATAGAGAGCTAAAGTGAAGATCGTCAAAAATAACTTTTGGATTTCGTCTGTCTTGTCGGTAGTTGATTGTTGGAGGTGTCGCTTCCAAACTCTCGAAGAGGTATCGTGTCCATCTGCAGCGTTAATCGCTTAGAAGTCTTTTCAGTTTTAGTTAGTTTAAGAATCTTCGCACTGCCTTCGCTTTCGGTGTGCGCGCGCCCTTGCACTTAGCAAAACACTTCAATAACACTGCTTCAGTTTGCCCCGCGCGAAGAGATCCGCACCGTTGACAGAAATAGAAGCGATGCGTCAAAGGCCTGTCGCGTTCCGGCATCGCGTTAGTTACGGCGACGGCGCATCAAGATGCCGATTGTACGGTCGTCAACCAAAACAGTGGCGGGGCGTTACTGACAACCCTAGCACTGATAGCGGGCTCTTGAAAATTGTAATGCTATAGCAAATTGAAAATGATATTGCTTACCTACCTACTAGGTTACCATTACATTTTCAATTCTACATAGCGAGGTTTTGTTTCACCTACTAAAGGACGTCGTTGCTTAACTCTGATAGACACTGGCGGGCTATATTCGGTATCAAACTTCCTTATTCATAATTCCTTCTTGTTCACTCTTAGAAATTCGACATTTGAATACCTGTCAGTTACCTAGTTTGTTCAATAGACGAAAAAAAGCGACAAGTGTTGATGATTTGTCTGTATGGAGAAATTCGAAGACTAACGTCTTACTATTATAACAATAAAGAATTTGTTCAATATATTCTTCTCCTTACTCAGGTGAGAATAACAAATAGTTGCTACTTAAAAAAATGTACCACCCCTACTCTTAGATATTAATTCTGATGCCTAAGATAGCATCCGTGACAGAAAGACAAAGGTAATAACTACACTGCCCGTTTTCTGTTACATGACCTGTTTCCTGCGTAAGATCTAATCGGATCTAAGCATATTTCTGCATTGATTTGATCTATAGTGCCATCTATAGTGGCAATTATCTTCATGGCTACTGGACGTATCGCGAAAATGCATTCGTATTAGTATCTCCGTCGCGGATAGTTGGGCAACAGAGCTTCGTTGTTCCATTGTGTGAGGAGGCAATACCCATTACGTGAACTAATTACTGCGCAGAACATTGAAGATTACGTTACAAAAAATTCATCTTGAATTTCCAATATCCAACGCTATCTACTTCTATATCTGATGTGTCTTACAATTTTAATTGAAAAAAAAAATAAGGTGTATACTTGTACGTACGTAAGTAGTTATACTTATTTAGCGTAACAAAACAAAACTACCTAATTAAATATAAAATATCTACCGTCTAAATATCACCCACGTGCCAGTACTTTTTTGTGACAAAGATGTTATACGCAATTGATAACGGTTTAATGAAATAATTTGGAATTATAGGTAAATATCAAAAAAAAATCGTTGCCATGGTAACAGCGTTAAAGTTGCTTCGCAACCAACTTCATCATGTCTCATTTTTATTGCCATACCAAAATTAAAAATTTTGCTCCCATATTATTTTCCAAACGCTCCAATATAAGTATTAGTTGAAAACTGAGATTAGAACCTTAACTCTAAATTTTAGTCATCTTCGAACGTTGCCAAGAAAGTTGCCAGTTACCGGAAAATATTTTCTATATAGTAAACTAGCGACCCACCCCAGCTTCGCTCGGGTGCAATTCTTATACATATAAACCTTCCTCTTGAATTACTCTATCTAGTAAAAAAACCGCATCAAGATCCGTTGCGTAGTTTAAAAGATCTTACCATACATAGGGACAGACAGACAGCGGGTCGACTTTGTTTTATACGATGTAGTGATGTTACCGTTAATTCTTCAGCTTGCCTCGATTTTAATTTTTATGCTCCTCTGGGGAACAGATGGCGTGTCATAAACTCTTGCCCCGCCGTCAACACGTGACGAAAATGACAGTCGCAGAGCAAGAGCCGGGATCATAATGATATTTGACTATTCGTGATGATCGTAATTATATTTCACAAGAAATACCGTCTTAAACTTTGTAGAAAAGCACAAAAAAAAAATACCGACTTGTTAATAAGTTCTTTTTTATTACAAATCAGCTTACCAGCCCCGACCTTCCAAAGTAGAATAATTTAAAGAGTAAAATTGTCTCGCAGTTTTGTGAACGTAATTTTAAAATATGACAAGACTTAAGAATAATGAGAATAGACTTTTCCTGTAGCCACTGCTTCGTTTATACGAATTTCCACGTGCCCGCCACAATTGCAACTTGTAACCTCTTAAAATTTTTATTTCATTTAAGAATAACGTAACGTAAGTAAATCAGAAATAATGATGTTTTGTATTCCTGATCACATAAACTTGAGCACACGGACAAACATACAAGTCTTGTTTCTTATAATACCAGTAAGACCCGCCATTATATTGGAAATGACAAGATAGGTGATTCTGTATAAGGCAATACATATCCCAAATGCTGCCCGCCTCCTTTCTCCTTTTCTGGCCCTAAGCGATGCGGTCGTAAGGTGAGATCTGCCTTCACAACATAAGCACTACGGCAGTTCGATAAACAAGTCATTCATAGTACGATAAACAGTCGATTTACTTGCACGTCACACGTGAGTCACGACTCTACAGAGCGGCACGGACGACGATATTATGATATCGAACTTATAGAATGATGTCCTATCGACCGTTAAAAGGCTTAGACATTACTATATTATAGCTTCTTGCGGCCGTGCAAACAAATGGGTTTAATTGAGGGAATTGTACGAAATCAAACACCGCGGTGTCGTTAACGCAAATGAAACTGGTACTAAAAGTTCGCCTTAATAGTACTGTTAACCGCGAACAGTTTTTTTGGGTTCGGAACCAAAGGGTAAAACCCGACACAATTACTATGACTCCGCTTTCTGTCTGTTTGTCTGTCCGTCTGTCTCCAGGCTGTATATCATGAATCGTGATAGTAAGACAGTTGAAATTTGCACATATGATGTATTTCTGTTGCCGCTATAATAACAAAAACTAAAAAGAGAATAAAAACAATTGGTGCTCCCATACAAGAAACATGAATTTAGCTGTTTTTATAAAAACTGTGTGCACTTGTGTATAAAAACCGGTTTTTATAAAATAAAAAATATTTTTTATGATAACCGCCGCCCATGGACATTCGGAAAACCCGTAGGGTTTACAAATGCGTTCCCATCTTTCAATAAAGTGAGCTCCAGTTACCTCACTCACCAGGCAGAAGGCAGAAGTATAACACTTCCACTTCACGCCGGCCTTCTGTGAGGCCTTAGTACTGCATCGGACGGACCTGCCCATTCGTGCAACAGCGAAGTTTGCTGCGTGGCCCTACCACAGTAATTACTTTTTAACAAATAGATAAATGAGTCATGATGATAAATAACTTCTCATTTAGTCTCATACGGGTGATGATCGGGGTTCAGCTTCTTAAACGTTGACAATGTCACTGCAACCCACGGACGTTGTGGGCAGCGGTAATCTTTGAATATCAGGTGAACGTCCTGCTCATTTGCGATCAGATATCAGAAAAAAAACAATGACACACACGTGACAACAGTTTTTAAGATTATTCAGCGGGAGCAGCCAATTAAATAGTTCAAAAAAGAATTAAGAAAGGGTAGCCGCCGCCTTTGAAGCACCTCAGTTGAGTATTGAAAAACGACATATAATTTTTACACAATGTAACATGACGTACCGAACATGCTATTGTAATTCTATACATGAAGAAAACATTTCTTAACTAGCGATTAATAACTTTAGGTTACCCTAAACGATAGGACAGCCTAAGAACTATTTTTTGCGAACTGAGATTTCTAAATATTTATAACGTTATTATTTCACCGAGCGGCAACATTTTATTAAAGACGTTTATCGGTAATTGCGTGCTAATAGCCACCGGCAAGGCGCTAAATGTCGATTCTTATAGCAGTGTAGCGGTCGATGTACTTGGGAATGCCCGTG